AGGATTTTCAGCCCAAATGTAGAGATTTACACATGTCCTGGGCTGGGCTTTCCCCCACCCAGAAGCACCCTTTACTCCTTACCTTAATACGTTGTCTCTCTACTCAGGGACTAAAAATCTTGCTCTTCTCTCTGTGGGCTGGCTGAAAGAGCACCCTCTAGGATTTCAGCTCTGTGGCTGCTTGGATTTGGTGTGGAGGTTTTCAACCAGCCCCCAGAGACAAGAGGGAGTCCCCGTGGTAGATGGCAGCAGCTTAGCTTGCAATGACTTTCTGGGGAAACCAGAGAAGTTTGAAAACAATGATCACATGATCGCAGTGTGCTTGGCAACCAATCAGAAGGGCCAACAGGTTGCCAGGCATTTAGATTGTCATCACGTGACCAGGAAAGAAGTGCGGTGCAACGTTTTGCAATTTTGTTAGAGAAGCCTATAAAACTCCCTTTCTGGGGCCATCATTAATTTGAATCGACCTTGAGTGGACCGTCCCATGTACTAGTAGTTACTATAATCCTGGAAATATTTTTTGTTTGTTTTTTAGGCAGGGATGCCTGCACCAGGAACAAGGCGAGACATCTATGACCAGAAGGTTACACTACAGCCCATTGATAACACTACAATTTCACTACAAATGGGCACCAACAAAGTGGCTTCACAGAAGGGGATGAGTGTATACGGGCTTGGACGGCAAGTGTATGACCCTAAGTATTGTGCTGCACCAACAGAACCTGTCATTCATAATGGAAGCCAAGGGACAGGAACTAATGGATCAGAAATCAGTGATAGTGATTATCAGGCAGAATATCCAGATGACTATCACGGCGAATACCAAGATGAATATCAGAGAGATTACCACGGTCAATACAGTGACCATGGCATTGATTACTAGATTTGCCTCAAAAGCTCAGTATTAGTTTATTATTTTATTCAAGAAAAACGAAACTAGCCTTGTGGAATTGTTACCCATCCTTTACACATTATGCTTCATGTACTTAAGGAAATATTGCCTTACATAATAACATTCCTTTTTCCTTTCTTTGCCCTTTTCTTCTCTAGTTGCCTTTAATGCTGTAACATTTGCAGTCTACAGCATAACCAATAACAGCATATGAAGTAAAAAGGAATACTGTGAAAGGGAACTTCTCATATACAGCCAAGTCTTTTAATAATAAGGAACTATGCATTTTTTTTTACAATCTTGTTCTGAAATAGGCATTTTACATACTATTCCAAGTTTTTAAACTTTTTTTTATTTACAGCTCCATTCTGTGGAAGACTGTAGATGCCTTTATTCATAAAGTTAATTCTGGACCATGCCATCAAAATAAAGGTTATAGTTAATAGTTAAAAATGTTGGTTTTGTACTTGCTTGCTTATCTCCTGAAGTCATAGTAGAAATAATAAATGTGCATTTGTGATTGTGTATGTTTCATCACAGTGTCTAAATTCACCAAAATTCTAGGAAAAGCTTTCTTTTTTAGAAAGGAACTAGTATTAAGTTCTGAGCCCACAAAAATCTACATTTTGAAGGTCATTGACTTTATTTTCTGTGCCATAATATATCCATGTAGAATTGCCTTTTCTTTGAATTGTATTTATTGCCACATTTCTCATCAACTGATCTTGTTGTATTTTTTATAAATAAATGTTTTCTTGAAGACTTAGAAGAACATGTATTATTAAAAAAATAAATGCTAGTTACAGAAGTTATCAAGGAGCCAGATCGAGCCAAGCAACTTCAAAATCAAAATAAGTAAAATTATAACAAAGTAATAGAAGGCAACTGCCTACAGTAACAGACGTTCAACATAAAAAGACTAGAAAAGCTGAAATTCTATGTTGTTAGAAGTGCAACAGTGAAATAGGAGTCTATTTAACTAACATTGCTGCTAATTAAGATGTCAATTTCCCTATTAGAAACTACCCTAGTTAAAATACTTGTTAAAAAAATTAGCTTTTCTAGCAAGATTGGATGTAAAGGACACACTGCCATTTTCTATTGTTGCCAAAGGATTTCTCCACTCTAGCAACCATTCTTTGGGTTCAATAGTAGAAGACACATTTATTGGATTCTATTGGTGATTTTTAGCTTGCCCGTTATATTGAAAATTTGAAACTAATATCCCAGAATTTCTACATGAAGTACTTTTAAGGGGCTGCAATTTTGATACCCTGGGCATTCCAAATAAAGCAGGGTCTTCCAATTTCATCTGAAGGTATTTTGTGGGTAAAGAAGTCTTTTCTGAAAACAAATCAGATTTGACTCACACAGACCTATAAACACATCTTTTTTACAGAATTTCAAGAAAATTCTATCAATTCTCTTCAGACTTTATAACGTGTATCATTTTATTTATCAGATTGCCCAAGGGGGGAAAATTGTCAATCTGTTGGGAGAGGATTGGATTTATGAAAGCATACTTGTGGGACCCTCACAAAATGGCTGCCGGGTGTGTGTCAGAAATTACCAGTTTATTAAAAGCCAACAGATTGCGTTTTTGTTCAGTTTAACACACTCCTTCCTACTGGTTGTCAGATACACTTCTAAATATAGTAAAACTTCAGCATAATGAACAAGTCACAGGAAGACTAAATTACCGTATTTTTCACTGTAAGATGCACTCTCACCCCAAGGTGGGTGGAAATGTCTGAGCGTGAGCGCGGCGGGGGAGGGGGGATCACCACAATTGCCTGCTGCTGCTGTTTGCCACCGCTGGGGAATGCTGGAGACTTCGCTGCCAAGCAGCTGGTTGGTGGTTGGATAGGCCTCCTGGAATACCGCTGATCAGCTGTTCTAGGCAGCAGAGATTACCACTGCGGCCAATCGCCGCCACCAATCGGTATTCCAGGAGTCTGATCCAACTACCAATCAGCTGTTTGGCAGCGAAGGCTCGTGTTCCCCACCACCGGGGCAGCTCAGCTCAGTTGACAGGTGGCGGGTGCAATGGAGCGAAACCCTGATGAGCCACGTGCTGGGGCTGCAATAACATGCTAAAGCTTACCAGGCTGCTTGCTGCAAGGATGATAGCCAGATGAATACCGGATGGATGCTGGGAGGCAGAGGCAGATTTTTTTTCCTTGTTTTTCTCCACAAAAGCTAGGTATGTCTTAAATTCTGGAGCGTCTTATAGTGCAAAAAATAACATAACTGTGTGTTAAATCTAACTTTGTCGTTTTTGTTCAATTTATGTCATTTGCCTAAGTATGGGGCTGAGGTAAATAGCATCACTTGTACTAAAACTTATGTAACAGACAATGCTTTCATAATATCTGAAATCTGCTAACCCAAGGATTTATTTCAGAGAACTTCAGTCATCCATCCTTTATTTTCTATAAACGACTTTGGGGTCACCAAAGGTCCCATTGACATTCCGGTAAAAAAAACATCCTTGGCATCATACCAGTTTTCCATTTATTTTATTAAAAGTATTTTTACAATATACAGGCAACCGTACCCTAGGCTTCCCATAGTGTCTTCAATGTATTCTCAGAAGATATACACATGTACAATATTTTTTTGCTATCCAGCAGTTTCTGGTGCTTCTACAGTGTCTTAGATCACATTCCTTTTCATTGGATGGAGACTTAAGAAAGGATTGCACAATCGTCTTGATTCTACTGGTTATATAACAAGTTTTGACAAGGACATTTTCCCCCCAAGTCAAACTTTAGAATCCAAGTAATTGTAAATACTGTACATATTTGAGGTGGGCAACTCAAGGGGTCTTACCAACCACATATCCCACCATTTTTTTGCTGTTGCCAGAGCTGTGTAAGAACATTGCCAGAGATATTCAGCACCAAATCATCTGATTTTTGTACTACTTGTTTCTTATTTGTTTTTTAAGCTTGTATGTAGCTAAAGGCTTGAAAATTCCATACTCTCAAAAGATGTTGCTGTCTCAAGATACTTCTTACGTTCCTTAGAAGCATAAGAAAGGCTGTTTATTCTTCATCCATATAGAGAGCTGGATTACTCATTCTCTGTTCTGCATAGTTACAAATCAGAAACACATTGTGTCACTCTCATAACCTTGAAAATTAGGATTTGATTAAGCTGAAATTAATAGTGAAGTACAGGAAGTCTTCAACTTACAACCATAATGGAGCCTGCTATTTATCGCACTGTTCCCTATTGGCCATTTTTGTCCAAAACCAAAAGCAATAATGGTTTCGGCAAAAACAAACACGGGCCAGTTGCTGAGTGCATGACATGCAGTCACCTGATGGGGGGGGGGGTATATTAATCAGAACTTTGGAACCAGATTGTAAGTAGCCCTGGACAGGTCTCTCGTAACTTTGAACAGTTGCTAAGTGACCGGTCATAAGTCAAGGACTTCCTGCACAACAGCTAACATCTAAATACTCAGAAAAAAGGAATATGAGTAAACACATTACCTTTGTAATATGAAACATGATCCTCCCCATGCACTCTTTGTTGACAAAATCTATAGCATGGTGGTTCACTTTTTCCATAGGTTCTCAAATTTAATTAAATTTGCCCTATTTATATATCCCCCCATCTCACCAAACAAATGATTCTGGGCAGGTACAACACATTCTTGGTTTTTAACATTAAAAACCTGAATTATCCCTTGTTTTCATTTTTGGGATGTCTGAAAATAAAACCAGGGTTCCTACTGAGCAGCAAAGAAAAACCCTATATGGTCATCTTAAAAAAAAAAAACCATCTTGATCTTCCAGTGCATTCTTTAGCAAAATAAAATGGTTGCTGTGTCATTATGTCTAAGAAAACTGCAGAACTTGTGTAGCAACACAATCCATTCCTCTTATGCACTTGGATGCAACATTTCAACAGAAATAAGAGAGGGTGGAACTTGTGACACTGCAACAAATGTATAGTCATTTTGGCAATATGGTTAAGAAGTGACACCTAAAATCTAAATGAAACCATTAAACTGATGCCATAGTTGATCATTAATATACTTTAAAATATCTTAAATAAATTCTTAACAAAATCAAAAGCTGAAGACATTTTTTCACAAAGTGAAAGTAGACCAAATCATCTCTTTTAGTGCAAAATATACAAATCATTTCAGGGAACTGTTTTTTCTCTGATCTTCATCTTATCTTTGCTGCATGTAGTTTTAAAGCCATCCCAATTTCAGCTCTACAATAAGGAAAATAAAATATGAAATTAGCCATAATAACATAAGTGTCTGTAAATAACAGGAAAAAAAAGTTTAGTATAACAATATTTTCTGCATTCTGTCATTGCATATGTAACTTTTTCAAGATTTTTCTTGGGTGGAGGCAGAAATGCACAGAGCTGCATAGGATGAAATAAACCAAGCTGAGGCATACATAAACCTAATCAACTGAAAACCACAGATTCTCGGCAGCACAACCCTACCGTATACTATTTCCAAACTTCTAAAAAAGGCACAAGGACCTAAGCCCTCCAGATGTGCAGCATGAACAAAAAAAATATCACAAAATAATAATCCAGAAATATGACCCCTATGTGCAGATTTTCTTTTCTGGCATGAATAATTTTGGCAGAAAAATGATGGCTGCTACTGGAAATCCCCTGACAGCAAAATGATACTTTGGAAGCATCACAATGACTTATTTTGCTCAAATGCAAAAAAAATAAAATAAAATGCTGCACAGATGTTATTTTAAAGATTATGTTACTATTTTACAGTGAAATTATGTATTTGAAGTGGACTTTATGATACTTGGGAAAAGATTAATGCAGCCAGCAATGCAGTGATCATAGCAGTGTTAATTTTAACAACGTGATACTACTGGAAACTTATTATTTTGTGCCTTCTTGTATTAATATATCTCTTATAACTTCCCAAGAAACAACTTTCCAAACTTTCCAAATCCCCAGAAATCAAGAAATTCTGTTAAGTGAATCTGTTTTCCCTGTTGACTTTGCTTGTTAGAAGGTTGCAAAGGGGGATCACATAATTCCAGGACACTGCAACCATCATAAATGTGAGTCAGCTGTTAAGCATCCAAATGTATGACCATAGGGATATTGCAGCAGTCATAAGTGTGAAAAATGGTCATAAGTTTCTATGCTGTTATAACTTTGAATGGTCACTAAATGAACTGTTGTTAAGATGAGGATACCTGAACAAGAACAGATAACTCCCTCCTCCTCTCTGCTACTGACTCACATTTGATTGAGGGATTTCTGTTATCAAATGTTTAACTACAATAGGACACTGCAACTCAGGGCAATCAGCAGCTCCTACTGATGTTTAGAATTGGTTTGTCTCTTACCATAAGCTGCAATTCAATGCTGTTTTCATTGTTATAAAATATTCTTCTATTTCTTTCTTTGGTCTTTGCAAGCTTGCTGTTCTGATAGACAAAGTTCTGCAAATAATAGCAATACATTACCCAAACTTATTATATTTAATACTATTATCATTTGAGCAAACTCAAATCAACAGATTATCAAGCCAGTATTAACATTATAATACTACTACATTTTAATCAAAAGTTCTTTGTATTCTGGGATGAAACATATATCCTGTAGTAAATTAAATTATATATCCTTGATGGGTAAAAAAGGAATATATAAAATAAAAACAATAACTCAATTAATTTCCTATAAAATGCTGTTTTATTTGTCCTACAAAACATATGACATATTTTGTTGCACAAATTTAAAACTAAGATAACTTTCTATCAATTTAGAAATATGTAATTAAGCCACACTTCTAGGTAGAATGATTCTGAGCAAATGAATCTATAAGTCTAGTTTAGGGCAGGGTTTTAAATAAGAAATCTTAAGCATATTTAAAAGAAATCCCCCCCTCCCCAGTTAAATGGGAGTTATGTGTAATTAATGCTATTTAGCACTGCAATTATTATCTTGCAAAGTTTAAAACAGATACATTTAGAAAATCACATTAAATGCCTAGTCTATATAGACTTTGACATCATCAGGAAAAATCTATGATAGTCACTGAAACATCTAGGAAATTCTTAAAATCTAGAATACATTCTAATAGAAGCTCCTACTAGAAAATGGAAAAAGTTTCACAATATATTTGACACCAACTTTAAACTGGAAAATAGAATCCTAAACTAGGTAATACAGGTGTTTTCTAAAAATGTTTACTATCAACTTTTGACATAACTACCTCATTTGAAAAAATTAAGACATTATAAACTGCTTTTGGGAGTGCTTACCATTAAATCTTGATCCATTAGGTATGGTTTATCTGAAGAGCCATCATTTGTTTCTACATCAATAGCAAAGCAAAGGAAAAGAACATCCACTGTAGTCTGAAATACTGATAAGAAGTTATGGGCAATGAAATAAGCCAAAACGGCAACCAGCAGCAGCGGCAAGGTCCAAACTTTTAATTCCTGGTGGTAGTTAAATGCCATCAAGCCCCCAAAAACGGTGAAACATGCTACGAACATCTATATTAGGATGAAATTAGATATATTTTAAAAGGTAACTCATCTAAAGAAGGTACCAACTGTATGTAAATGCTTATTATTAGTGTTGCTTGGATAGTGAGATGGACGACAGAAATTTAAATAAATAAGTAAATAAAATTAGTATAAAGATTATGACTGTTTTCAAAAATCTGCTGGGACATTTTCACCTAAACTTTCCACGTTGTTTCGACAAATATTGCTTGACTATTTTCTTCACTTTTGTTTGGACTTTCATTTCTGCCATATCTTGCTTTAATTTAACTGAAGAAATATCTTCATTGTTTTATTTATGAATGAATTTGGGTCTCCCATGAAGAGGCATCTCTTCTTCCCATCACTTGAACAATTGGTTTATCTTCTTTGAACTCCCCCCAACCCTAAATTCTCAGATTTTCATTGTGATGGAAGCGGCTACACTGTGGTGCAGGAACTACTGTTAAGACCACACTGGATGCCTGTCATGCCCTTGTTGGAGTCTGATTCTGAGGGGGAGATTGAGCAGCTGACAGGGAGTGGGAGTGTAGCTCCGGTGGCTGTGGAACAAACGGGGGAAGGGCACAGTCCGGCTGGGCATTCTGAGGAAGACCCAGGGCCACCCCCTCTTCATCCTAGGGCATGCAGGGAAGAACAGAGAAGGGAGCAACGTGGCTTACGGGAGAGAAAAAGGCCCTGATCCCTTTCATTAGTTGCAGCTGGGAGAACAGGATATAAGAAGGGCGTTTGCACACAGCACCTTGCTGGAAGCAAAGCATGCATTAACTTTATTGAGGCTTATCTGGGTTTTGGTGTCCTCCCCAACTGTGTGTGCTTCGTTATCTTTTGGAAGTCTGCAATTTATTATCCTGGCCTGTTGTGTTAATTACTTCAGCATGGTTTGTGTTGCTTTTTTTTATTTCTAATTTATCTGTACTTTGGGTTTGGACTGCACTTCTTCCCTTTGTAGACTGTTTTTGGAAGAGTTTGATCTCCAGCCGAGGATAACTAGACATTGGGGGCCAAGTTGGAGGTGTTAAAGGGAATTTATCTACTTTTGTGCCTTTGTTATTGTTGTGCCATGCCCCGGGTCATCACAATGCCAATCAACATATGTAGGTACCAACTGTAGGTTTAATCTGGCTACAAACATATACTACGATCAGATGAATAAAAACATTAAGAGGGGGTTTTGCCAATAGGAGGATCCAAGACTGACATAACACCCCAATGGACACTGTACTTAACAGCCCAAGCAATACTTTTGTGCTTGCTCAGTGATGAAGTCCTTAATATGGTCATGGATATCATATATATTTTACTTGCTTCCAGAGAACAATTTAATTTCCATAAAATTTGAATTTACCCTCGAATCTGACTGAATTTACCCCTGCATCATTGACTAAACAAGGTTTTCAATGAGGAAAAAAAAGTTAATAAAGTTTTACCTTTGCAAGAAAGACAGCAAAGTCACTGAAGCAGTTGATTGCCATGGTGCTAGTTACATTTTTTGATAAAATAACACTGGCATCTTTAGCCGAAGTACAAAAATTTGTCCCATTTATGATAGTTGCCGCATATGCATTCTGCAATCAGAACGTTAATTGGTAAAATAGCAGAAGTAACAAGACAGAAAATAGGAAGTACTTGGCCAAAGTTATTTTTATAAATATATATATTTTATCATACTGGGGAAACGAAATTACTTGCATAACTTTTAATCTCATTGTCAAAACCTATATAATAATAATAATACTTTATTTGTGGTCACAGACCAAAACACAAGTACAACAAATGAAGAACATGGGAAAATTAATCATGAGCAATTGGTCACCAAAAACTTGACTAAGTGGAATTACAGCATTTTCCTCTGATGGTTACAGCACTTAAAAAAAATTTGGAAACCTGAGAAGTGATGTATGAGGAGCCATCCCCTAGACAATATAAGAACAAATTACTAACACTGGGTCTAGAGGGGTCTGTTTCAAGGAGAGACAGTAACTTAGATCTGCCTGCATTATACACAGGGCAATATAAAAGGACATGCTCCACAGATTCAACCTCAGCTCTGTCACAGGGGCATAGCCGCTCATTAATGGGGAGCCTCTTAAATAGCCCATCCAGTAGTGCTGAGGGCAGAACATTAAAGCGAGCTAGGGAGAAAGCTCTTCTATACTTGGGAATGGTTAGAGTGTAAAAATAGGAAGCCATCCTCAGTCCGTAATTATTAAATTGGCTGAAGATCAGAGGGGAGCAAGTTTTGTTAGCTCTGGCTCGTAGATATTGCAAGTCAATGTCCACAAGCCATTGGACTACCTTAAATTGGGCGTCCTTAAGGCCATAATCTCCCAGGGCATCCCCTGTAAAACCTAGCAGGTATAATTTCTTCATCAGCTCCCTCTCCCAATGAGAAATATGAGAGTCAGCAAACGCCAGGGAGAGGTATCTACCGGGAACTGCCAGAAAGAGCACCCGAAATCACCATTTAAAGGTGTTAATCCACGCCATACATTCGACTGATCGAGTACCAGTTCCAGGTACATCAGAGCGAAACCAACACAAGGAGGAAGACCCAGAAGTTTTCTAAAAAAGACAGCCTGGTTTCTTTCAATACAATCCTTGAAGCCCCGTATCGATATGGGAATTCCGTAAAGAGTTTGAGCCAAAGTTTTGGCTTTGTAAATACACAGAGCAGAAGGAATAAACTGGCCTCCTTGGGTATAAAAAAATCTTAAAATCTGCTGGTGACTACAGGAGGCCGAATTCAGCACCTGGGTTTGATGACTAGTCCAAGCACCAGTGTTCTGAAATTGAATAGCTAAATACTTAAAATGGAAAACCTGCATAACAGCACTACCATTGATAGCCCAGTTATACAATTTCCGGGCTCTAGAGAACACCAATACTTTGGATTTGTCATAATTAATGGACAAGTGGTTCTGAGCACAGTAAGACTCAAATGCAGAAAGTAATCTTTTCAGACCTGGCCTTGACAATGAAAGGAGGGCCACATCATCAGCATAAAGGAGAAGTGGGATCTTCGTAGTTGACAGGTTTGGGGCGTGGGACTCAATACGTCCAATGTGAAAGGCCAAGTCAGATAAGAATAAATTAAACAAAAGAGGAGCCAGAACACAATCCTGCCTTACTCCGTTCTTAATCGGGATAGGATTTGAAAGTTCTCCCTGCAATCCACACCTGACCTGACTAGAGGTCTGGTTGTACAAGGATCTAATTAGGAACAGAAGACGTCTAGCGATAGAACTTTTGAGCAGTTTTGACCACAACAGTCCCCTAGGGACTGAGTCAAATGCTGACTTTAGGTCGATAAAAGCAGTAAAAAGTTTGCCACCTGGTATGGTAGTATATTTATTGACCAAGTGCGCTAAAACAAAGCAGTGGTCCAGCCCGCTTTAAACCCAATCTGTTCAGCACCAATAATATTGGACTCCTCAACCCAAGTGAGGAGTCTGCATTGGAGATATTTAGCATACAATTTTCCAATGATGGAGAACAGGCTTATGGGGCGATAGTCGGCTGGGTTGTTCCTATTTCCTCATTTAAAAACTGGAACAATAATTGCTAAGCTCCAGGAGGAGGTAGGGATCCTGCCAGATCCTGTATTGATATGCGTGAAGAGTCTTGCTAAGAGAGGAATCCACCACTCGGGATTGGATTTTAGCAAATCAGGGGGTATAGCATCAGGGCCAGGGGCTTTGACTGACTTGAGTTCAGAGATAAGCTCGGTAATCTCAGCATGAGTCACGGGTTGCCAGTCAGGAACTGCAGGAGGCAGCTGTGGCCCAAGCACGGTCGAACTTGTTGACGCCTGGAAAATTGCCAAGAAATGGTTTTCCCAATCTCTGTTGGAAATACAGCAGAGGGGGAGTTCTTGATGACCCGGCAAGGAGCTGGCAACAATTTGCCAAAATAATCGAGTGTTCTTCTGCTGGATGGAGAGAAGTAGATCTCACTTCTCTCTCTCTTTAGCTTTCTTTTTCTTAGCAATTAGTCCTTTATACTCCCGCTTCAAGCGATAGTAGTCCTCTGGTAGGCATTTATCCCCTCGATTATGATAGAGCAGGTAAACCCGATTAATCTGGTTCCTGAGCATCAGACACTCTTTGTCAAACCAAGTTTACTTCTTGAATGATATGGACCACTTGGCCTACGGATGGCTCCTAGCTCCCTTTGAACACTATTAATTAGTGATTCAAAGGCCGAGATTGTCCCTGGGCCACTACTTGTTAGGGCCTAATTGTATAGGCTGAGACACTCCGGAGATGATAAAAAGGAGTGGAACTTTCTTTCAGTATTAGAAGACTATTTAATCTTCCTTGTATATGAGGCCACATAGGGATCTAATATCTGAGGACCCCTAGGGAGATGTATATTTGAGGAAAGCCCAATAATTGTAACCAGGGGGTAGTGGTCGCTCTCCATAAGGCAGTCCACATAAAAAGCACCGACTGCCTTTCTAAGAAGCTGGGATACCAGCACAAAATCAATAACATTACTCCCACGTGAGGAACTAAAAGTAAACTCACCAGCTAGATCACCTAGGGTACTCCCATTAAGAATTATCTTGTTGTGTTGGGCTGCTAAAAGGGCTAACTGAAAAACCTATATATCATTCAAGTTTTAATATGAGGACAATCTTTTCACTAGTTTATTCAGAATAGAACAGAACAGAATAGAATAACAGAGTTGGAAGGGACCTTGGAGGTCTTCTAGTCCAACCCCCTGCTTAGGCAGAAAACCCTATAGCATTTCAGACAAATGGTTATCCAATGTCTTTAAAAACTTCCAGTGCTGGAGCATTTACAACTTCTTGATGCAAGTAGTTCCACTGATTTAGAACCGTGGAGATCAATAAGCTTCATTCCTCAAGAACCAAACTAATTAAGCATATAAATAAGAATATCCAAAAATCTACAATTACATTTCCCAATAAGCTATAAACATCCTTATTTTATGTAGTGAAAAATGAGCCATTCTTGTCCTCTTTAAAAAAAAGAATTTTAATACTGGTATATTTAATAAATACACAAGTCTGCAAAATTATTCTTAAAAAGAAAAAGTTATTCTTAAAAAGAAATGTGTAGTCTTCTAATGCTCAATGTGGAATTAAAATTCTGATTGTGGGACTGAAAATACTCTCAGCATCTGTTTAAATACATCCTTCAACAACCTAAGATTAATATTCTGTTTCTACTTTTTTCCTGTGTTTAGTCCTTTGGAACCTAGAAAATTAAGTCAATGTACACAATGATTTATTTTCATAAGAGAGTTGGGAAATATTAATACAGAAATATAAATCCACATGTCTGTAATAAATCATACTAAAATAATACAGTGTAAAACACACATACATGAAATCAGTTGTAATCCATGAAATTTCTATATAGTATTTATGCTGCCATGGGGGTGGGTAATATGACAATGACTTCCTGAACATAGGATACACACAATAGCATATCAACAATAAAACAAACCAATCCCCACCATCTAAAATATTTTGCTATTAATTAGCTCAAGCCTCAGCTTAATTATTTTAGTACTTTTAAAGAATCATGGAGCTTTAATAGATATTATTCAACATCTTTCCTCATGGGAAGAATTTTCTAAAAAGAAATTTGTGGGGTTTTTGACTTCTTCCTAATACAACCACTTGCAATTTACTCCCAAGGACCGAGAACATCCTGAACATTATTGAATAGGGCAGAGAATGAAACAGCAAATAAGGGACCTCTTTTCCATTTAAACCAAAAAAAATTCTCTCTAATTGCTTTCTGCATCCTAATTCAAGCTCCCAGGGTGGGTGGGGGACAGATTCCAGGTGTGCATAATCTGAAGTCAAGACAAGGCAAAAAAATAAATAAAATCCTAGCATACAAATCCTTGAACTCTAAAAAGCTATCTAGTAATAATTACAATACTCTAATACTTAAGTACAATCTTTTGTAAACTGAAGCAGCAGTCAAGATAAACTCTGAAAGTAACATTGATTCTCCTAATAATTGACTAAGTTAAGGGCATTTTGTTAAAATTTAAATCTTGCTTTAATTTATGTAACATAAACTAAATATCTTAAGGGAACATAACAAAAAAGTAAGCTTCAGATATTGACCGTTTATATTTACTCTGGATTTCAGAGTAAATTACTCTGGATTTCACTCTGGATTTCTTGCATTAATATGCATGGGAACCAAAGAAACAGATAAATAAGGAATGGGTTTGTTTACATACTTCAAATTAAGTGGGCGAAGAAAATGTTTAAGAAAAAATACACTTCCCAACATAGACAGAATGCCAAAGGTCTTGGAAAAACTGACCTGATAGCTTCATGAGAAACGCTACATGGCACAGATCCAACAACTTTAAAAAAATCCTTCTGGTGCAAAATAATTGCTACTTTGCGTCACAGCCAAATTCTATCTTCCATTCTAAGATTCTAAAAATTATCCCAGGGAAAGGGAGAGCACCACAGCAACAGAATCTTCTTTGGAAAGAAACCAAAAACAAGGCAGGCATGCAACCATGCCCAGCTTCCAATCCACAGCCTGCCTGCATTTTTAGAGTGGTTGGCCATCTCCTACTATGTAAAGAGCTCTCCCAGAGAACTAAGGGTGCAGCAAAATGAAAAAGTAATGATCCAGAGACTGTGACAGATGGAAGCTATAGAAGGAAGTATTTTTTATAGCAGTAAAGGAAAAATATTAATGGGATAACAACACAGCCTCTTTCAGATATGCGTAGGGAACAAAATGGCTTTGAAATAGCAGGATTATTTGTTTTGTCCCCTGCATACAATGTGAACATATAAAGCCCTATGGCCAGTTCTTAATTGCATAATGTGGCTTCTTTTACATGTTCCTTCCCTGGAGTTTGTAGATATGCCAGAAAGTAGAGATATTTGGAGTGTATGACACTGGACACTAGAAAGAATACCAGTCAATACAGCTCTCCGAAGTACTCAGAAATTGCTAGATTGACTTTAAGCATTATCACTAAGAAACCCCTCAAATTGAGAGAGAATAAAACAATTGTATCTCTAAAACAGAAGTAGGACAAAGTTATGCATGACCTACCAGGTAACACATTTCTGCTCTAACCTTAAATTGATAAATTATTTTCCTCTTTTGTCTTAGCAGGCCTCCGATATCTTCCAGACATTTAATTATCATTAATATGTAATCTTCCCTTGCTGATGCCCAAACTAAGCAATACCAGGGGCAGACGGAAGGGCTATAAATTAAAATATGCCTAATTAAAATATCCCCTTTGTGATTCAAATTCCAGAGACAGTCCCTACTGCTTCGATTCACCAGATTGGGATTTGAAAGGAAACCTGGCGCAGTAATTATTGGGAAAAGTTTTATTAAACAGGATTCAGTTTATGGCACTCCTGGTGCCTTCTTTGATGTCTCCCAGCTTCAGTACCTGTTCTGCAAATTTTAAATTTTCCAGCAACCACAGGAAATTCAGAAAACAGATTAAATGATCTAACTCATTGGGCTGGTACTGTTTAGAGTAGGTAGTCTTGCAGATATCCACGGTCTCAGCCATAAAGGGATTAATAGGTTAAAATCAGCACCTTAAAATGTACCCAGAAAACGAATAGTAAACAATGCAGGATCTGTAAACTAAATGTTATTTGCTGCTAACGTCGGCAGCCAAAAACCATGAATCTGCATACAGAGGTTGAACAAGTAGCCTTGTGGTGCAACCAGAACAATCTTGAATTAAATACACTTAAAACCATAGAAATGGTGGTAGATTTTAGAAGAAACCCTCCTATACTACCACGTCTTACAATACTAGACAACACAGTATCAACAGTAGACAACTTCTAGGTTCTATCATATCTCAAGACTTAAAATGGACACCTAACATGAAAAACGTCATCAAAAAAGCACAACAAAGAATGTTCTTTCTGCACCAACTCAGACAGCTCAAACTGCCCAAGGAGCTGATGATTCAGTTCCACAGAGGAATTATTGAGTCTGTCATCTGCATCTCTATAACCGTCTGGTTTGGCTCTGCAACCAAACAAGCCAGACACAACTGATAATTAGAACTGCAGAAAAAACAATTGCTATCAACCTGCCTTCAATCGAGGACCTGTATACTGCACAAGTCAAAAAAAGGGCTGTGAAAATATCTACAGACCCCTCACATCCTGGACATAAACTGTTTCAACTTCTACCCAAAAAACAACGCTATAAGGCACTGCACACCAGAACAACTAGACACAAGGACAGTTTCCCCCCGAATGCCATCACTCTGCTAAACAACTATTTCCCACAACGCTGTCAAATTATTTACCAAGACTGTATTATTCTTCTCATCCTTCCTAGTACCTATATCTTCCCATTTATGAATATAACCATGTTGCTTGTAACTTTACAATTTGTATTGTTTCAGTTTCTAGTATGATTTGATTGCTTATTAGTAACCTTAGTGACTATTACTAAGTGTTGTATCTTATGATTCTTGATGAATGTATTTTATTTTTTTTCTTTATGTACACTGAGAGCACCAAGACAAATTCTTTGTGTGTCCAACCACACTTGGTCAATAAAAATTCTATTCTATTCTATTGTCATCTGTCCTATTTTTCTTATTGCATTAGACAAGGAAATAATGTTTCGCTAACACAAATATTGCACATGCTGTCTCACTGATTTTAATTTCTTTCCCACCAGAAAAAGCAACATGAAAATGTTTCCTATATATTAAGGAATGGCAAGCAGCAATCTTTAGTCAAAATAAGAGAAAGACTTGCAGCAAACCAATGTGCCCACTTGTAAAAATCAGGACTCAAAGCAGTAATTATATACTAATGCGCATTCCACCAAAGTCTAAAATAATTCTGGGGAAACACACCTGACAAAAATGTATGAATATATATTCCCAGATTACAACAGCTCAGGGTATTATAGAAATAATGCCATGAATAACATTGATTCCAACCAAGGAATTCCCTTTTAGATTTTTACAGAAGCTGATTATATTCTCATTTTGTGGACTATAATTCACTAGATGCTTATGTCTGGCAGAACGAAATAATCAGATTTAGATGCATTCTAGTTTAGTCATGTTAGTTAAATCGGTCATTATAAATCACAGAAGCTGTTCTACCCCCCATGTATCAATGAATAGGCCTATTGAACTCAATGTGATTTATTTTGGCTAAGATTTATAGCACAGTCCTGCATGCTTTCTATAAAATCAGCTGGAATGAAAAAGGCAAGGGGTTCTTAAATATAGATCATCGTTCTTTGCTAGTTGTCACAAAACTGGGATAGTAACTGCCTTGGAAATATTACTGATCACAAGAGCATTTCTTTTTCATGTGACTTTCATTATTTTGCATGTGATATTATCCAATTTATATAATGTACCTGGTTTAAATATCCAAGAAATCTTTCTAGGCACCAGAAACTGCAAAAGCAGCATTTGAAAATACATCTTGCACACATGTTCTCCTGGGGGGAAAAAGCACAAGTTGTAATTAATCATCAAAGATGCCAGAATTTAAAAAGCAAGTCTTTCAGATTTTTATAACACTTCCTACTTCCCACGTACAGAATACAAGATTCATATTCATCTATTATTTTCATGATTCACGAAGTATCTTGAAAAGACTTTGGCATCTTGGGATTAAAGCTCTTGCAATGATAGATAGATAGCAGCTTTGGTATTTATTTTATTTTAGAAACAGGATATTTTTCAATCACAGAAATACATACCTAGGATTTTCAAATGTAATTTTTCCTTATTTCAGGACCATTTTCAGAGAAAAGTCTCAAATTTCTGTGACAGTAATTAATTAATTAAAGGACCATTTTCAGAGACAAATGTCAAATTTTTGTGACATAAATTTATTTATTTATTATTCCTGTCCATCTCCCTCAAAGGAGTCATCATCTTATCAATGGTAAATTACCTAAACTAGATATGTGTCTACATTGCAGCCATACCAAAGAGACGTCTGTTTTTAATTTATAGATTAACAATAAGCATTGAAGTATAATATTTTTCTCAGCATATTATAATTTTCTCAGGGGGAAAATTCTTTCTTTTTGCCCTGTTCATTGCATTGCTTTTCCTTTCTACAAGTGCTTCTGTAACATTTGACTCTTTTATTTTATTGCTTCTTTCTTCTACCTGAGGAAGTAAGATAAATACAGGCAAATAAAGTAGGTTTAAATAAGGTAGGTTGAAGTGAAATAATAATGGGAATGTCATTGATTATAATCAGAAAAGTTTGATGATAGAATACTATACAGCAATGTACAAGTTCACAGTTATTGTTGAAATACATTTAAGGGATCTTTGAAAAGTTCAAGTAACATAGTGAATAATTTTGGTTCTTCTGAAGAACATTTCACTCATTTGCTAGTGAACCAGAATAAAGGAATACAGTATCTAAAACACTACAGGGAGTCTTTGAGTTATGACCACATTATGGTCATAAGTAATGATTGTAAAAGAGGTCATTCATGTAATCAACCCGGTTTTACATTTTTTGCAGCAGTTAAGTGAATGCAGGGGTCATAAAACGAATATTGTGGTAATTAAATAAACAATGGCTCACTAGTTCTATCAAAAAACAGAACTGCTGGTTTTCAGCAAAAATGTCATAAACATTATCCAGGATTTTGCAAATGGCCTAAGTGTTCCAGTTACATGACCAGCAGCGGAGGGGAGGGAGGGGATGTAACGGGGGCAGGAACTCACCATCAGAAGTTCGGTTCTGGGTGTTAATTCCCCTTTTTGGGGTCCGTGTTAACTTTGAATGGCTGCTAAGCAACCAATTGTAAGTCAAGGACTATATCGCTAAACAAGTTTATATGTAACTCATTTATGAAGTGTTATGAACCCAAAGAAATATTGACCAAGGTCATTCAACACATTCATTTGGGATTCAGGCTAACCAGATCCATGGAAAGCACCAATTAATAAAAGGTAAACCATTCATTGCCTGGCCCACTTCTTCCTGGCTGACATCCGAGCAAACTTCATGAGCTCTGTTCAGCAGCTTTCCCCACTTAAGTTTTTTTTTTTTAAACCTTAAGAAATAGATAAAGAGTGTCCTGATTATGGCCAAAATTACCAAGAAGGGAAAGTAAATGTCTAATCTTCCCTTGTTTTTGTTTTTTTTTAAATTCCATCATATGCACTTATGGAAAATATCAATATGATGAAGGGAAAGAAGTGGTTTTGGTTTGCCATGCAGATACACCCAATCAAACTATACCATAAGTTTGCGAAGTATTATCAAAGCATACTTGTCTTTCCTTGACACCTAAATTATAGCTAAGAACAACATGAATGAGAAAGATGCAAGCCTGAACATTTTCCTTCTACTTTCTGGTTAACTTGATCTATGCATATAAATTTAATATTGTGTACTTGTCAGCCTTCCATTTTAATATATGAAGTTCTGGAAATCTCTTTCATTATATCTCATTGGAACCTTAAATACTCAAGGGGCAACTCTCCATGATACTTTACAAGAAAAAAGTTGAAACATCAATCCACATACCCTCCATTTCTGACCCACTCATAATAGACATTTTCATCTTCCTCTCAAAGATAGTTAGTCCCTTAGCCTAAGCAAACTTCGTTAGTTTTGCAGTATTTTTTTTTCTAGCTATCAGAGAATAGGTGCAAATCATTAGGATATGAATCCTTTTCAAAGTAAGTCTGTTACAATGAAATTTATTGCTTTTTAAGCTGTTGCCTGCTGAGATAAAGCTAAGTAATAAAGTCCAATATAAAATGAGGCAAATAAAGACTGCATTTCATTTCCTTACTTAGGTATTATATTTCTACAGTTATTTGCCCGATTGCTATGCTGTGGTGTTAGAAAATGAAAGTAGGAGCCTACCTTATTTTTCAGAATGTTATAAACAGACAATAGAATAATCCTTGGGACTCTCATTATTGGGATTATAAGGGACCCTTTCACAACTGTTCCCAGATGATAACAAAAGAGAACTGATATGGAACCCAGGATTGGATGACTTGATAGTTTAATCTTATTTCTACAATGAAAAATAAGCAAGCATAAAAAACTGTACAGAAAATGAAATATAAACACAACACAACTATTAGAATCTTTATCCAATAGTTTGGAAATCCTTCCAAGTGTTTATAGTACTCCATTTTCTAATGCATGAAGAATGAATTGGGGTTTTATCCTTGCAAACCGCTCGAAGACACATCTTTGATCAATTTAATTTTTGTATCATTTTATGATTTCTGATCATCCAGTCAATTCCATTTCAGAAGCTACATTATACAGGTAGTCCTCGACTTACAACAGTTCATTTAGTGAAGTTACAACAGCACTGAAAAAAGTGACTTATGACCATTTTTCACATTTATGACTGTCATAGCATCCTCATGGACACATGATAAAAATTCAGATGCTTCCTATTTATGACAGCTGCAGTGTCTGGGGGGTGTGTGTCATGTGATCACCTTTTACGCCTTCTGACAAGCAAAGTCAATGGGGAAGCCAGATTCACTTAATAACCATATCTCTCACTTAACAACTGCAGTGATTTATGTAACAACCATGGCAAGAAAGGTCATAAAATGGGGCAAAATTCACTTAACCAATGTCTCACTTAGCAATGGAAATTTTGGGCTCAATTGTGATCATAAGTCAAGGACTACCTGTATACTCATATTAAAATAATATTCTTCCCCTTTTTCAACAGACCCAAAACAAACCTTAAGATGTATGGAAATCTGTTAAGTCTGTTGCAGTGAAATTAGACAGGAGGAAGTGATTGAGAATAAAGGCAAAAGAGACAAGATTGGAACCATCAGTGGGGACAGCAAAGGACATGCAGTGCAGTTCCTAGTTCAAATCTTGATGGGTTCTGTAGTGGGGAAAGGCCCTAAGAGAAACTTGCATTGCTTCAAAGTAGGAAGTAACATACTGAGGTCCAAATGTGTATAAATAATCACAAAATACTGTACAACATCTCACATATAGCCAAACTGCTACAAAATTAGAAATGCGTATATAATTGAGTGAGAAGTTTTACTCTTACAAATTCAATTCTTTTTCTGATACATTTTGAGAAAAGAAAAAATGTCGGTACTGCTCAAGATGGTTACAACCCTTTAGTTGTAATCTTAAATGTACAGATCTCCACTAAAAACCCTAAAAATGAACATAAATGAACAATGAAAACCATATAACAAAACTATTTCTTTTAATAAAGATATTTAAAAATCTATTAAAAGTCTTTCCTGGACTCTGCCTGCGTCTCCTCAAAGCTCACAGTTTGGAAAAACCTGCTGTAGAGGTTATTTTCCCATAAGAAGGGGGGTGACTATTCCTCGGCTAGCATGAAGGAGGGCGAAAATGAAGACTTAAAACTGAAAGAATTCTGAATAGGAGAAAGCAGGAGAGGTGGAGGATTAATAGCTAACAAACTAAGATGAAGCTAGACAATACTAGCTGTTGAAGATTTACTGTTTCCACACAAATTATCATGGGACAGATCTACTCTTTACAGACAACATTCATGGTAGGTCTGAAAAGAAGAGAAAGTAGCCATGTGCAAAGAGCAACAGCCAAGCCAAGAGAGAAAATGCCAACTAGTGTAATTTCCACTCACCTATCTCTAAGTAATCTCACCTTAGCCATGAAAGCCAGCTAGATAGCTTTGTGAACTGTGTCACCCCCTCTCAGTCCAACTTACCCCACAGGGAAAAATAGGAGAAGGAAGAAATATTAGCTGCTCAGACTCACCTTGAATACCAAGATGGGCAGCAAATAAATTTAATAATGGATAAGAAGACCAGAAAAATAAAGACAAGGAAACCTGCAATGATGTTGACTGGCTCTAATTACAAAAGAAAATACATTAGATTGTTCCAAATACATCAGAAAATAGAGTAATAGAAAATGAAGTGTTCTGGGACTTTAGAATTCAAACAGGCAGCACCTGCCACATAGTACCCTAGACTTAACAACTGTTGAGAAGAATGACAAAAATGTCTGGATAGTAGACATGTTATCAACCTGGAAACAGCAAAACGGAAGAGAAAAAAATTGAAGAAAATCACAAAATACAAAGACTGCAAATAGAAATAGACTGATTGTGGCAAAAGAAAGCAAAGATAGTAGCAACATGAGCCCTGATGGTGTAGTGGTTAGAATGCAGTATTGCAAGGTGACTCTGCCTATAGCCAGGTGTTTGATCCTGACCGGCTCAAGGTTGACTCAGCCTTCCATCCTTCCGAGGTTGGTAAAATGAGGAGCCAGATCATTGGGGGCAATATGCTGACTCTGTGAACTGCTTAAGAGTGCTATAAAGCAGTGATCCCCAACCTTTCTGGCTCCATGGACTGGCAGCAAGGGCAGGGATGGTTTTGTGCATGCAACCTAATCCTCTGCATGCACAAATGAAGTGTAACATGCTCGCCTGCTGCTTGCAAAAACTTTGAGCCTTTACAAAAAAATAAAAATGGTAAAAGAGGAACAAATTAAATAAAGAAAAACAGAATTTAGAATTAAGCACACTCCTACTTAGCCAGTATTGAATACTACAAGATAGTGAAGTAAACTAAACTTGATTCAAGAAAGCTTGTTTTGCTGGGACAAAAGAACATCCATTAAAATGCCTGTTCTAACATAAATTCCCAAGGACCCACAAAAATTTCTTACTGCTACACTACAGCTAAATGGCTATACTGCTTTCCTGTGTTTCAGTATTTTCAATAGGAAATACCATAAAAGTGGTACGTATATATTTTAGTTATTCAGCCTAAAAGACTATTTAGGGATAATGACTGGATTTTTGTATAAAATAATTATTAACAGATTTCAAAGGGTTTTAATTCAAAATGCCTCCTAATAAGCACTCACATTTGAAACTTCATGTATTTGAAGATATTGTTATTTCATAGTTAAATTAGTACAGAAACCCAGTGTACAATATTTCATATATAAGAGGGATTATGCATCCATTAGTAGTTAATTTCTTCGGACATTAAAATAATAAACTGTCTTTGCTTGATTACCTTTTACTTGTAAGATTAGATAATTGATATGCACAAACTGTATGTTCTGAAATGTCCAGGAAAAGGTCTAGAAATTCTTTAAGTGATTCTAACTAATAATTTCCTTGCCTCTTTCTTGGCAAGGAAAAATGGGGAAAAAACCTGATATTCCTCTTTGTATCTAAAATCAAGCCAAATATACAAAAGGTTTAAAGCACCCAATCCTTAGCAAAGTAATAGGATTTAAAGAATGCCATCAGCTGGTCTACTAACACATATAATCTTCTCCAGCATTACTGATTCAAGGTCATATAATATGCTGAGGCTAGAAACTAGAGCAATTCTCATGGTGTTTCTAGTAATGCAATCATGTAAATATTGTATGACATTTAAGAGGGATTGAAGGAAACACCACTATGAGAAAATGCTCCTGGGCTGCTGTCTTAAGCAACATTTTCCTATGCTGCCTTCATGATTGATATGGCATAACTACCCTTATATATGCTCTATTGTGCTTGCTGTTACGATTTTTAAACATTTGCTCTTTATTTGTTTAAATCTGAGAGGTACTTAATCCCACAGCATAGCAGCTTTACAAGTTTAAAGCTAGCTTCCAATATTCCTACTACTTATTTTAGTAGGAGAGATCCTTAACAATCAAGCAATGTTTTTGCTACAAAATAATACTGGGAAGAATATTATTCAAATTTTAGAAACAGCAATAGAGGATAAAAAATCTTCCTCCCAATGAGAATCGATGAATATGATGGCTGAGTTGGGATCTCAGTGCATGTTTATTGAAGTATTCTGCCAATCAATCAAGTTTCCAAAAATGCATTATCTGTTAAGGTAAAATTCTAGCTATATATTTGAAAATGCAGAGCCTATTTGCACAAACCATATAGCATACTATTATCTGAACCCCTCATTTTCATTACAGTTTCTAAGGAATGCATCTTTCATCAAAAATAAAAGAAAGCAAAGCATGTTTCATTATTATTGTTTTAGGTCAAACAGATGTCTCCTGCAATAGGTAATCCAGCTGAAACAACTCACAACCCTCCCCAGTTTAATTCTGCTGAGGAGAAGACAGCAGAATGCCTAATGGACTGTGTAGTAAGGAAGCAGATTTGCAAAACTAAAGTCTCTCCAGTTTCCTGTAATTGCTTACTAGCTAAAAAGGAAAGCTTTAGACAGACTGTGATAAACAAAGCTCTTGTTCACGTCCCTCCCACAAAGTCTGTGAAAAACACTGTTGTTTTTCTTTTCTATATTTATAACATTGTTCTACTGTATCGATTCATCTCATTTTCAACATGCTGACAAAGCAAATAATAGGAAGAGAGATCAACACCAGGGGGACTGCACATTTCCATCTGGAAGTGTAAGGTTTTCAATTCAAACGCCTATCGTGTAACTTTTACAATTATCAGTGATATTAAGAGAGTCAAGTTTAGTTCTGACATGGTATAATCATATTTGAAAGAGATTCAAACTTATGGCAAAAATGGGTATTCATCAGAGGAAATATTGGTCAAATCAACATTTCTTGCTGGAATTAAACTAGTCCAAAATTATTTATCCTATGCATTCTGGTTAAAAGTTTGATAATAGGATGCAGTGTTAAAAATTAATGTTTTATGAAAAAATTGCTATAATTCTGTGTATTCTAAAAGTATCTTACGCAGCAATTGTCCTGTGTAGATGCTCAGAATCCTTAGTTATGTTCTAAAAAGAATGTGTCTGAAAAGCAAAACTGTTTATCAGACCCAAGACATAATATTTACATTTCTTTGCAAACTGAGTACAAATCTAAATTACATATTTTATAGCAAAACAAAATTAAAATATTACGCATCACTGGAGTGTGAATTCCTTCTTTCTGCTCACCAAGCTACTGAAGTAAAATAATGACACCATGTTGATATTTTATGAAAATTAGGAAAGAGAAAGAATTTAACCAAAATCCTTCATATCCAAAAGAGGTGAGGCATCCCTACTATAAATAGAACTAGAACTGGACTGAAACCTTATGAAGTAGTGATTCTGTAATACACGGGCTCAACCCCTACGGCATTTTGCACAACAGACAAATAGCAGCAATACTTTACTAGAGCCTCTTTTCCATCTTTTCCAAACTTTCCAAGCTTAGTTTACAATCCTGGGATTGATCGGTGATTCCCACTCTGGGTACCAATGAGTTCATTGAGTCATGTAAGAATATTTAAAGACAGAACCACCTGCCAAATGAAACTAGTGTTCATAATCCAACAGATCAGCTCTCTGTGGTTCCCAACCTTTTTTTCGCCCCGCACCTCTAAAGAAATTTCACTCGAACCTCGCACCCCCTGAAATAAATAATAAATAAAAATGCCAACATATAGCCAATATCCTATTATTTACCTGGACTTTCTCGCACCCCCTGTAATATCGTCTCGCGCCCCCAGAGGGTGTGAGCACCCCAGGTTGGGAACCCCTGCTATAGACGAACCATTCTACGTAAGCCAGGCAGGTTAATTAAAAAACACAAAAATGTTTACACCTATGCAAGAGGATGAGAAACACAGGAGCAAACCTAAACCTATTAACACAACTTAAAGCACATCGTGCTATTAATCAAATAGTAAAACATAAAAATCAGAATTCCAGTTCTAATTGTGGATAATCTCAGTTTCGTGAATATAACAGGGAACTCTGAAACCTTTGAGAATACAGAATGTTTCAGTATTTACAATATTTAATGGAAAAAAAGGGACTGCTCTCTGATAAATTCTTCTGAACTGGGCCCAAAAATTTATTTTGCTAAGCAAGACAGTTGTTAAATTAATTTTGCCATTTTACAACATTTCTTGCCACAGTTAAGTGAATCAGCGCAGCTGATAAGTTAGTATCATGGTTATTGAGTGAATCTGGCTTCCCCATTGATTTTGTTTGTCAGAAGGTGGCAAAAAGTAATCACCTGACCCAGGGAAACTGCAACCATCATAAATACATACCAGTTGCCAAGTATCTTTATTTTGATCATGTGACTTATGGGGATGCTGTAATAGTCATGTCAAAAATGATCATAAACCACTTTTTTCAGTGCCCCGTAACTTCAAACAGTCACTAAATGAATGGTTGTAAGTGGAGAACTGTATAATTTCTTCCAGGCTGAAACTCAATATACTGTTGCTTAGATTGCAGTTTAATTGATGCCAGAGACACTGATTTCCTTCTTCCTTTTTGATAGAATTTCTAGAAAACAGAGCCTTATCACCCACATTCACTCTCTAATACATATACACACATATAATACACATGCTAAAAAACAAGCAACTTATTGTACATTAAACAGACCATTAGAAATAATTTAGGTTGATTTTTTAAAAAGCTTTTATATAGCTCTTTTAAGAGACTAAATGCATTCAGTGACCTGGTTCATGCTTAATATTAAGTTGTAATATGTTTGATTTTTTTTTTTTTTGGCTTAACGTGAACCAAGGTACTATGGCCTATTCAAAAAGCCATGGTCAAAAAGTAAATACTGATTTAATGTTATGTGTGAACCATTCAACATCACCCTAATCCAACAAATTTTATAGATTAGTTAAGTATTATTATTTCAAAATGAAACAGCAAGCTTGATTGACTTAATTTTAAATAACTGCTTAGTATCATTTATGAGTCTGATTTCTCACCTGTAAGTTAAAAGCATCCACTTTGGTTTTCTTCTAACTCTTATGTTATGTTTGAAAACAATATGCAATTATTTTAAGATGAGAAATGATAAGTAAACATGAACGATTAATTTATCATGCTAGAATTTTCTCAAATAAAGTGTAAAATACACTCATAGAAGATTTGACAATAAAAATATTACTTATCAATGGTCTTCTTACATACAATTATCAGAAAATTCTGAAGTGGATAAAAGATTTTATTGTTTGACAGTCTGAAACAGAACTATGTACTTTTGTTTTTTCTTCCTCTCTCTCTCCTTCTTCTTATCCTGTATCAGTTTGTTAGTTTTATATTCTTTTAAATTTTTTGCAATAAAATGCATATAAAACACAATCTGCAATTGTTTAACTATGGTTTAATAAAAACCTTGGATTACAAAGTGTGATTTAAGCTTTCTGGAAGCTTACCATTAATTTAAAGCCCGCTCTAGTTTGTATCCAATGAGAAACTGCTATTAGTTGAACACAGCAAATGTTTCTCATCTTTTCCCCAAAGTTATGCCAGAATAGCAGTAGTGTGGGAAAGTCCAGAAGTCTGAATTCTGTTGATGCTCTACTAAATTATAGATTGTGTTAGGCATGAATGCAGCCACTGAATTAATGAGACAAGCAAGATTTTAAAGAAAGCCACTTAGTTCACAGAATAGAACATCAGCCAATAAAGATCAACTGCTCTCATCACATTCCTCAGTAATTATATAATCCTGTTTATACTGTTTATAAAGGAATCCACTGACTTCGAGAGGGCTTGTTTATATATGCTTACAGGTCTTTTTTGATTTTTTCCCCCTAATCACTTAAAAATACAGTAAAAGTAAGCTTAGAAACAAGGTTTTGGCAATTAGATTGTAAGTCGTACATACCGGTTGAAGAAGCAAGCAACTATAGTTCCAGCCACAGTCATTTGCTGACATGCAAGAATAAATTCACTTGTCCAGATAAGCCCTAGTAAATGATACCACCACATGTAGCGGATTCCAAATCGAATTTTGTATTTCACTTGTCCTCCTGAAATGACTTGCGCACTGCCTATAAATTTAAGGCACAAAGAATAGAAATCAATATTCTTCTACTGTCCTTTTTTAGTTTATCCAGCTGTTATTCAACGTATTTTAAAAAAAAAAATTTTTTTTTTACTGAAAATAAACATTTTAAAACGTGGTGGACTTTTTTTTTTTTACTGAAAATAAACATTCTTGAACGTGGTGGAATTTCTTTGACATATATATATATCAGTCTTTACATTTTATACTGGAATTAATTATTAATTATTCAACTTTTTTATTGTGTTTTAGAAACAATTTATAATGAAAATATTTAAAACCAATTATAGATAAAAAAATTAAGACAATAAAAATGTACAAAAAGATAAATGTCAGACTAAGATGTTTATGCTAAAAAAATAAAAACTAGACAGACTAAAAACAAGGAACAAAGTGCAGCTACGAAACGTTTTAAGTTACATCAAAATGAGCTACAACTTTAAACTTTTAAAAGTGAGACAGCTTTGTATATACAAGTAGTCCTTGTATAACAATTACAGTTGTGACTGGCAACTCCATTATTAGGTGAAGTGGTCACTAAGTGAAACAGCAACCATGCCTATGATCTAAATGCAGCTTTCCTTGGCTTTACAGACCAGCAAAAGTCATAAATATGAGGATTCATTAGTTACTTTTTAATCACCATAATAATTGCGAACAGTTGCTAAACAAAACAGTCATTAAATAAGGACTGCCTTTATTAATTATAACAAAAATAAGCTATATTAAGTATAGCTAACATAAAGATCAACATTCCTGGAGAGAAAACAAAGATTTATAAAATTAAAAATATTTCAAAAGCAGACAAGAATATGCATCTATACTAGAAAATACATACATACATACAGAGAAAAGGTTAATGTATTCATGTCGTACTTCTTTTTTTTTCCTGAATATCTTACCCTGGGGAAAAAATGCAAAGCAAACAAGGAAACTTTCTAACAGGTCTAATGGCTGTTACCGTTCTATCAATTTCAGACATTAACATGTCCATAATGAATTAGAACTTCTAACTGCTTCTAAATGGATGGCTGGGCAGGGACTGAAAGAGAAAAAACTTTATAAGTATTCTAAGTGAAGCACATTGTCTAGGAAATATGTGACCTTCAAATCACACTCCTACATATAAAGGCAAGCTAGCTGTCTTTTCAAGGTTATAGAAAGTGTTTCCTTGTAACCTAACAACACATTAGCTAGGTCAGCTAAAGAAAATCTGCACACGACCATTGATAACGCCAATTTTTTTTTTCAGTCACACACATCTACTAATTTGTATTTCCATATTAAAGTGACAGAACACAATAAAGTGTTATACAGACATTTTAAAGTATCTACTAACTATTGGTTTAAGTGGTAGAACATAAAGAGCAGCATTTAATGTTAGATTTCAGAACCCCTACTTCAAGCAATGGTTTGGCTTAGATTCTTATACAAGGAGGAGCAAGCCAGATCCATTAGGATTGTGGCATCGAGTCCAGAACTACTTGAATCCTGAAACCTAAACCAGCATCATAATTAGATTTGGAATCGACCAGAGCAAGGTCACTTGAAGATAAGGCTCATATCCTACTAAATGACTAGCATTGTGGATCAAAGTCCACAATTTTTTTCCCCAGGAGAATGCTATCTGCCAGAGACACCTACACGGATATAGGTTTCACTGTAATATGGAAAATATCCATGTTATTTTACAAATCACCCTGTTTTCATTATGTTAGTAACTCCTAGATTGTAATACAATTAATTATAATGCTTCACTTCAATCCATAGAGTATTCTAGAGTCATTTAAAAATATCAACAAATAATTTCCCTCGTGGCTTTTATTCTTGCAGAATGGTTTTATTATTTAAATTTATGTATTAATGTAGGGGGCGTGTTTGTACTTATTTTGTATTTAAATCCTAGCATTGGCATTCCTTTTAGAGAGGGACACAGCAGCAGTATATAAAACTAATCTGCATGGATATATTAAGTTCTATTTCACACAATATAATTTTAACAGAGGAAGCTGGGGAAAATGAGGAAAACTTCATATAGCAGAAACAATACTAATAGGCGTATCTGTTCAACTGCAAAGTTTTGATAACCAAGAGCATCATTGTGACTTTATCCCTCAATGTGTTTTTTTTTTAATTTGGGAAATTTGGGGATATATCTACATCAACTGAATAGTTTTTCAATTACTTTTTCATTCTAACATTTTGCAAATATTAACAAAATTAAGAAATAATTGTTCCTTCACACTAAAGAGGCAACTGGTTGGCTGACTGTTAATTTTTGCATTGATATTGTATTCTCATACAATTGTATTCATACTAATCCTTATTTATATATGATCGGTGGACTTCTAACCCTCTCCTTTATTTCCATAGTATAGACAAAAAAAAAAAACTGCCTTAGCAACTATATTAAATCATATAATTAAAATTATTCTTGATTCAAGCAATACTATACATTTTGAAGAAGTATGGGTTCACCAATTTTACTATCTTGACTCAAGACCATAACCATCCAAGCTTCTTTAAGTGCAACTAAGAGAAATTGGATATTTTTTCTTTTTGTAGGAAATGCTTTATAATGTTTTCTATCTTAAGGTCAAATAACAAGATAAGTAAATACACAGGGCTAGGATATATTGTTCATAAAATGACAAGTTAAGCCAATCTATGATAATCAGACAACAATCAATGTAGGGTCTAGCTTGATTGGTTCTAGATCCACAATATTTTGCAATTCTAGAAAACAAAATAGCTTGTGCACCACTCATGCACAAATGTATTTACAAGCCTTGGGACAATTTTAATAACTTCTGATCATCAGCGAAAAATGATATATTTATGTAGCAAAGAGAATCAATGTAACATTACTGACCTGCAGTTCCTAAGCTAAGTAGCACAGCCACCCAATACACCCAGAATAAAATAAGTATTACAAACGTCCAAATAGGCTGAAAATACAAAAAGGGGGCTTTGCCAATTATTTTATTGGCAGCGTGAAAGAGCTGAAGAATTAAGTGAATCTTCTTCCTTAATAACACTATCAGGACAATTAGGATCACCTATAAAAAGAAAAATAATGCATTAGAATGTTTGGTATTAACAAATGAGAATCAAGTCTTTAGTAACTGCACTTAATTTTTCATTTGTCCACTAACCAAATAATTTTGACACAGGTAGTCTTACAAATTTACATTATACATGCACCAACACAGAAATAAAAATTTCAATACCATAATCACTGTTTTGCATCACAATTCTGCCCAAGAAAAGGTGTAGAAGATACACTGTGAAAACCATAGATTCTATATAGAAAAGGCTCAAACATAACTTCAACAAATGAGTATGTTTTTGTTAGTATACTTCTTTTTTTAAGTTTTCTTACTAATCTAAATATAAGCAGCTACAATTATACAGCAGGAAAATGCAATAACATAAAGACCAGTCTATATGTATGATTAAAAATGAGGTGCAGTTTGTTTGATCTGTCACTTTTCATACACTGAAAGATCTTTATCTTAACAGTCCAGTGCTAAAAATGTTAAGTGAAAAGTTTATTCAAAATATAACACAAAATATTTTGTGTATTGTTAATGAAGCTGTCTTCCTTGATGTATCTGCTGCCTCCTTGTGCCAGCAACTGGGTATAGTGGTTAATGAGGCAAAAACATTGCTACTGCTGACGCTTGGGGCCCACAAATCTCTATTAATTGAATCTGATGACGGACACAAAACCCTAATTCACATTGGGACAATCCACAAGTGCAGCAGCTGTATGCTTTCTCTCTCTACAGCTTATGTCCTATTCCATTGTAACCTGGCATTCATTTACTAATAGAATTTATCAAGTAGATTTTAAAAATACATTCTAGCCAAAGCTTACTATAAGGTTTGAGTCAGTCGTGTACAGAGTATTTTACATCAAGTTCCATTACTGACCAACTGGATCTTCTAACTGTCTTCACTAAAGATTCTGAAAATTATAGATGAATTCAAAATAAAAAATAAGCCGCATCCAGGCATCCCTGAAATCTGACTTATTTGGATATTATAACTGATGCTATTACTTTTCATGTATCAGTCCTCTTAAATAATTAAATAAAATCTTAGCAGCAATTAATATAAGAAGGGTATAGTGAAAAACATGTGTCAATCAAATATAATTTGAAAAGTTTCAGATTGATGTACATGAGATGTGTTTATGACTTAAAACAGCAACACCTTAAATCAGGGGTGTCAAACTCGCATCCTCACAGTGGCGTCATGTGATATAGATGGACTTTTCTCCCCTTCGCTAAACTGGGCGTGGGCAGCGCGGGACACATCTTGCCCACAGGCCATGAGTTTGATAGCCCTGCCTTAGGTGTGGATCGGGTATTCACAGCAGGATCCAAGGTAATAATATAGCACCATCTTTCCTAGCATTCACTACTGAGCAACAGATAGAAGATAGAAGGTACATGTTTCTATGTTATAGCCAAATAGAGGAAGGATAATTCACCTGCAGCAAATGCCGATTTGTGTATGTTCAATTGCACAAACACTGGCTTTTTACAGATTGTATATACCTACTAGAAGCAATTTAATTGATAGAAGCAATTTAAAACAAGAAATTAACTGTAGGCTTTCAGTTTAGCAAATATTTCTGATGAAGTCCTATCCTAACTATATTAAATAAAGTATCCATAGAATATTAGTTATAATATACATAGATGCCTTACCGCAATAACTGTAGATATAATAGAAAGTCCATATAATAATTTCATATTTTCTTTTTCAGTTTCTAATTCTATGCTGGGCCCGCTGCTATTATTGTAATAAAGCCACCACATAACACCTGAGACAACTAGAACAAACAGAAAAATCGAGCCATGTTTATTTAATATAAAAGATAAAAGAGCAGCACTGGCATATTAAGCTTATCATCAAGCATTTACTCAGCATGATTCAACTGCAGTTCCAAAGAGACTAAAAAATTAAGGTTGGTACAAAAAAGGTATCACAAACTGAAATTTTACTCTAGTTTGCATTTTTGTGAGACAATAATATTGATGCATATCAACTTCTACTCCATCTACCTGCTAAGGATGTTTGATTGTAACTAGGTTCTTTGGGTATAAATGAACACATGGGTTTGCATCTCCTTAAAAAATCTTCAGCCAAGGAATTTTAGCCAGAAGAGGCTTTTCTGCCATGGCTCCTGCCCTTTGGAACATCTTGCCCCACAAAGTCAAATCTACTCCTATCCTTTTGGCCTATTTAAAGGCCTAGAGCACCTGGTTGTGCCAACTAGCCTGGAGCCCCAGTCGGTGAGTGGCACTTTGGAGGTGGCTAGCGGAGTAGATAGCAACCCCTCTTCCCTGTGAACACTTTGCTCCCTCTCTCTCTCTCTCTCTCTCTCCTTCCTGCTTAATTTTATTTTAATTGCATTTTTAAATTTAAGCTCTTTATATAGTTTATTTAATATTTTATAGAGCATTTTAATCAATGCTTGTAAGCTACCTAGAGTCACCTTTGGCGAGATGGGCAGCATGCAAGTTTAATAATAAATAATACCGGATACAGATCATTCTTGAGTGGTACAAAGACTGTTGGAAAGATGGTAGGAAGAATCACTAACTGGTTTAAATGGAAATCGAAAACAATTTTTTTGAGAGGAAACTATAGGCAGAAAACCACTTCCTCTGTTTAAACTGTGTGGAACTGAATGTCTGCACAAGGAAAACTTGCAAAGCTCATGAGAGTTTCTGTAAAACCATTTTCCTCAGTTTCCTACAATTCTTACTGTAATATGTGGTAGAGTTAGGTAAGATTTCAGGTTCTTCCTTAATGTAGCATGTTTTTTGGATGCTGATCAGTGGTGGGATTCAATTTATTTTACTACCGGTTCTGTGGGCATGGCTTGGTGGGCATGGCAGGGGAAGGATACTGTAAAATCTCCAGTCAGAGGTGGTATTTGACAGTTCTTTGAACTACTCAAAATTTCCGCTACCGGTTCTTCAGAACTGGTCAGAACCTGCTGAATACCACCTCTGATGCTGATAAAGCTGATCTATTACTCCACAATTTAGCAATAAGGGAGAGGTTCTATTCCCCCCCCCCCAATTTTATTTCACAGAACAGGGCAATCTATCCACATTGATAGCCCAAGACTTGTCTTATCCTGCATTCTAAGAGATAGGACAATCACTTGTCTTGAATGGTGGAGCGGGGGGTTTGACTAGAAGACCTTTAATTTTCTTTTTTCTTTTTTGTAAAATAAATATATATAAATAAAAAAAATGAAATAAATAGCTTGGTATTTAGAACTTTCATTCCACTTTTGCACTTTATTGGTTAATTTATTTTTCTTTCCAAATATAGCAATAGCACTTAAGATTTATATACCGCTTTACAGTGCCCTCTCTAAGCAATCTACAGAGCCAGCATATTGCCCCCAATAATTTGGGATCATTTTACCAACCTCGGAAGGATGGAAGGCTGAGTCAACCTTGAGCCTGGTGAGATCTGAACTGCCAAATTGCAGGTAGCCAGCAGGCAGCAGAAGTAGCCTGCAGTACTGCACTCTAACCATTGCACCACCGTGGCTCAATATACTTATCTTTTGGAATACAGGTATTTTTTGCTAATTCTCTTCATCACCACCAGCTCTCTAAAAACAGTTATGTTAAACATGTTCAAAAGAGTCAGGAATGCCTGATCAAATAATTAAGAAGAGAACAAGAGTTCTCCAAGATCTAATACAAAATGTTCTTACCCTTCTGAGTCCCTTCAGATGCCAGAGACTTAAATATTCAAAGTACATGTTTGGGTATTAACCTATGAATCCTACTGAAATTATTTTTCATTTGCTAGTAAACTAGATGTCAGGAGAATCAGATCTATTTCTTCATTAAATCACTTTATTTATTAGTGGTTTTAAAATGAAACATAGAAAGAACCATGAATGTTATTTTTTTTCCTGCAAGTAGCTCTTTACATTGTAAGATGTCTGACTTATGGTTTTCAGGGTATGGGAGATTTTCATCAGGATAAAAAGAAGGGAAAAGCCCTCATGTTAATGTACAGTTGGTGAAATAATTTAGCATGAAGGTTCAGTTTTGCTTAATTGTAAATTAAATTATAATTATACTTACATAATAATCCAAATACAAATATTGTAAGAAAAATATGGACCACGAGCATATTGATGCATCTGAAGGCTAACATCATTAGGGAAGACAAAACTACAATGAAAACAATGGAATAGATTGCTTATTTTAACAAGCTAATTAAGTGGAGTACAAGGAAAATTTCTTTGAACCTAAGGATGAAAATTGCATTCCTTGCCAATTTAATTGCCAAACATTACAGTATCTAATGGCAGCCTCACTATGCATGTGCATTGCATTTTAACAATAAATTCTATATATCTTCATGCAGGTCTTATCACTTTGAGACAGAAATTAATGCAATTTCTCTTCCAATTCAGTACCATATTTTTATTTAGGTTCTATTGTACTCATTATTATTATTTTTAATGGATCAAGTTTCCATTTTTCTTATGCTGTTCTTTCATTTTCATTGCATTTATATTCAGAATTATTTTCCTCTTTGTAAAAACTGAATTACACAATTTTCAAATATCATGTATTAATCTTTCTGAATCAACAAGAAGTGTACACAATAATCATCCATAAATATATAGTTCCATATGTGTGTGTAAGAATCATGTGTGTATTTACATTAGCAGATTATCAATTGCTACATTCTGAAAGAAAGTAAAAGACATAATTTAGAAAAAGGGTCAGATATTTTCATGATATTTTCATAATGTTTAAACTACAGATAGTCCTTGTTTACCAACAATAACTGAGACTGGGAATTCTAACAAATGCGATTTTAAAGTTCACCATCACATGAGTCCGCCAGCTTACGGTAGCATTTCTGACAGTCTCAGTTGGTATTGCTAAGCGAATCCTGTGGGTCACAGCTGAAAGGCATTTGTGACCACCCCCTGGTTCCCCCTTCCCAGCCATTAGTGAAGGTTGCAAATGCAATCATGGGACTCTATGACCACTGTTAATTGTGAGCTGGATGCCAAGAGCCCAAATAACATCACTGTAGGTATGGCTACAATGGCTTCAACCATGAAGACCTGTTCTAAGTCACCCTCATTCACAGGGGTGGGATTCAACCGGTGTTACTATCAGTTCGGTGACTACGTTTTGCTGCGCCTGTGTGTAAAAAAACCTTTAGCTGTGCCACCTGGACAGCTGAAAAGCGCTGCGCACAGGTGTGCAGTGTTTAAAAAGCCTCTTTTTTCCTGCTTTTTCAACCTCAACTATGCCGCGCAAAGCAGCTGAGGTTGAAAAAGCAGGAAATAAAGGACAGGTAAGAGACCAGGCGGGCGGGCGGGCCAAACAGCAGCAAACACAGAACCAGTTTGGTGTCTGCTGCTCTTCAGAGCTACCGGTTCTATAGAGCAGGGCAGAACCAGTAGCATCCCACCCCTGCTCATTCATCACTATAACTTCAAACAGTCACTAAACGAGTGGCCATTTAGTAAATTCTTTAACAAGAATTTTATAAACACAACACCCAGTTCTTAGGAGAACTCTTATTATTAAGAAGCTTTTGTTTTTATTAATTATATCAATTAATATTAAGATAAATGTGCTTTCTTACTTTACTTTGATATTCATACAGAATATCAAACTACTGAATGGAACTATATGTTCACAAGCACTTCAAATTTATACCTAAATCTCATTTGCTTCTCACTTCTGGATGTGTTAGAATGAAACGTTTTGACTGGTAATTATCATGCACACCATATATGGTGAAATTCTCCCCAGCAGCAGCTGTTTTATGAACAGATATTGTAAAAATTACCTATGAGCTCCTATTCTTCCTTCTCTACTCCATTTTTAAAAATATACCATTCAGAGAAATTTCTGCAGAATTCAAATATTTGCACACCTTTCTGGATTCATCTGGTTAGTCTTATAAAGGCTTGGGTATGATTTTGGATAGATTTTGGGTTTCTCCCCCCATTTGTGCAACATTAATAAAGGTGTTTTTTCTTTAGGATAAATATTCTCTATCTTTTATATATATAAGAAGAAAACCCTCTATTACTCATTGAAATACATTACTGAAATGTAGAATGGAGAATTTTTCAACTAAATATATGATCACATAAATATTTCTTCATGGGTAATTTTGCCTTTATTTGTTTGAAGATAAATAACAGAGCAAAGTTGCATATGTCTTGTAATGCACTAATAACATTTTAAAAGAGAAATATAAATAACGTTTACGTGAAATAAACTGAGACTCAACTTACCTAATGAAAAGACGCACAGTCCCATTACTGTATCTCTTCCTGCCATAAGCCCACCCAGAATACGATGAAAGATATCCACCTCATTTACCACATCTATTAATACAGGTGCGAAATTGGAATAGCATTTGAGGTTCCGTGGAACACATCGATTAAACAGCGGAAAAGATACACTGGGACAATATATATACATAACAGTTAAAAAGTGAACACACTGGAATGAAAGTCACACTCCCTCACACCTTCATATGCACTTTCCCCATACTGTGCACAGCCCCTCATGTACCCTCCCCAATCCTTCACTGCACCCCTTCTCACATCCTCCCCCACCTGGTAGCAGCCACTTATTGCCTGAGAGCCTGGGACTTGCAATTTCCTGCCAGCTTTCTCATTGATTGTGGGAAGCTGGCTTAACAGATTAACAGATAATCAGAATTGGAAGGGACCTTGTAGGTCATCTAGTCCAACCCCCTGCCTAAGCAGGAGACCCTACACCATTTCTGACAAATGGCAGTCCAATCTCTTCTTGAAAGTCTCAAGCGATGGCGCTCCCACAACTTCCGAGGGCAAGCTGTTCCATTGGTTGATTGTTCTCACTGTCAGAAAGTTGCTCCTTATTTCCAGATTAAATCTCTCCTTGTTCAGTTTCCATCCATTATTCCTTGTCTGGCGTACAGGCACTTTAGAAAATAGCTTGACCCCCTCCTCTCTGTGGCAGCCGTTCAAATATTGGAAGACTGCTATCATGTCTCCCCTGGTCCTTGTCTTCACTAGACTAGCCAAGCCCAGTTCCTGTAACCTTTCTTCGTATGTCTTAGTCTCCAGTCCCCTAATCATCCTGGTTGCTCTTCTCTGCACTCTTTCTAGAGTCTCAACATCCTTTTTATAATGTGGTGAATAAAACTGGATGCAGTACTCTAGGTGTGGTCTTACTAAGGCTTTACAGAGTGGTATTAGTAGTTCCCTTGATCTTGATTGTATCCCTCTATTAACACAAGTGTTGTGGCCTGTCAGCTGCCGCCCCCTTCAGCAGCCGAATCAGATGAAGCGGTGGCATGGGAGTCAGGGCCAGCATCAAGGCCATCTGAGAGCTCCATGGGAGAAGAGGGAACGGAGCTGTCAGAAATAGAGATGGAGGCAGAGCCTGGGCCGTCCATCTGCCCTCAGATGGAGAGTCAACAGCGCCCAGGTCTGGAGATGGCTGATGAGGAGGAACAGCTGGGTCCAGTGCCTGACGCATGGATGCGCAGAAGGCAGAGGAGAGGAGAGCAGTGGAAGTCTATGGGACGGAAGAGCCACCGTTACTAGCGAAGCCCCACTGGGGATAAAAAGCAGAAGGAGGAGATGAATAGGTCTGGCAGACAATTATTCATCTCCCTATCGGACATACTTGTTAGCCTGTTATGAGGGAGAGAGAGACATTTTGTTAGGGCTGCTGGTGGCTCCTAATAAAGGGAACATTTATTTAACTACAGACGGTTTGTCATTTTTGGGAACCGGTTCAGAACACTGCTAATAAGTTGTTTAGTCTAACAATTGTGGAATTCAGGGAATGATGGCAAGTGGACTGCAGAGGTTGCTATCGCTAAGCAATGTAATTACAACTACATTACTTAGAGATGGAAATTCCAGTCACAAGTGCCATTGGGAGTCAAGGACTACTTGTAGGGTGCTTAGAATATGCAGAACATTTTAAACATACCTTCCTTGAAACTACTGAGTTTTATTCTGAAAAAGGGCAACTTTTCAATGCAAAACTAGTGAACTGAATGTGTTTCATTCTATATAAATAACACTCACGGTTGTTCTTACCTTGGTGGCACTGGTAGGGTGGGACAAAGTTCAGAAGCTTTGGATCCGTGTATACAACTGCTAGCATTCAAACTGTAAACACAAAGGCAAGATCCTACAGAAAACAAACCCATAAAATATGTTCAGAGTCATGTGCACGGTATTGGAATTGTTTTTACTGATTTGTTCCATTTTTAAAAGAAAAATATAGATTACATTTCGTAATTTCTTAAAGATTAAAGTTATAGCAAAACTAAAATATAATTAAAAGACATAAACATGAAAAAAGAGAAAGCAGAATCAGTAAACTGGGCAAAATATTCATTTTATTACAAAAATCTATGTAAATTGATAATTTTAAAGCCTGTTAACTTTTAGAAATTCTAATAAGCAATTGGTTCCATAACTCTGATCATCTTAAAGAAACTATTCAGTGTGATGATGTATAATGGCAATAAAAAAAATGTGGAACAGCAAAAATTATTTTCGACCATGCTTATTTGAAATCAGTAATTTTATTCAATCTTTTATTAAGCATTATAATAAAATTATTATATATACACCGCGTTTCTCCAACAATACGCCCCCCCCAATAGGAAGGCCCAGCACTGTTTTATTGGCATGAGTAAAATTAAGCCCTGCCCCCAAAATTTGGGCTTATTTAGGGGAAGGGTGGGGGGGTGCTGGGGGGTGGCGAAACTTGCTATTAGGAGCGGTCCATGAGCAGCTACACCTCGCCACCAGGCAGCTCCTAACAGCTGATCATGACGGAGCACGGAGAGCTCCATACCAAGCACCTTTGCCGCAGACCCGGGTATGGTGCTGGCTACAGGCCGGGTCAGTGGGCGGGCAGTGGCAGTGGGGCACTTTGCGTCATGGGATCTTCGACAGCCGCCGCTTCCTCCACTGCCAGGAGAAATCGAGGAGGTGGATTTCCATCCTATTTCTGTCCTTCAATGAGATGAAGGTGGGGAGTGCATTTAAGGGGGTGCTAAGGATCTGTAGGATGATTCCCTTTCTCTTATGTTTGGACTGGAAGATTCATTCATTCATTCACCCTTAGCACTCCCTTAAATGGAAGAAGTAACCACTCCCCACCTTCATCTCCTTGAAGAACAGAAATAGGATGGAAATCCACCTCCTGGATTTCTCCTGGCAAATCCCAAAGACAATCTTCCCTCTCTCCCTCCCCCCCTTCTTTCCCCACCAAGCTTCCCAGAGGATTCTCCTGCTGATTCATTCATTCAGCTTCCTCCGCCCGCACCAGTCCGTATTCTTAGGGAACGGATGGAGGGAATGAGAATAAGCAAAGCTTAAAGAGGGGGGAAAGGTCCACAGGGAGGTTTCGGGCAGCTGGGGCAAGAGGAGAGTGCCCGACCGTACAGCTGATTGAGGCAAGAGAATCCACTTGAAGAATGCAGGTGGGAGGGACAGACTCCAATGAGACCATGACCCGAAGCTCTGGGACAGGAAGCAAAGTGGGGCATGTGGGGGGAGAAAAACGATGGCATCACCCTCCCGCCACTGCTTCCATCCACCGAAGCCCGAATCACTCACCGACTTGCAGGATATTGTTGACGCAACTATCAAGCAAAGCGATGCCCCTGTGGAAGGGCAGGCAGTTCTCATCAGCAGCAGGGTGTGTCCAGCCACTGCTGGCAGCACTCTGAATGCGGCATAAGCCGCAGCGAGAGCAGAAGGGAAAGCGACGGCGGCAGAGGAAGTGGCAGCCAACGAATGTTCCGCGACACAAAGTGCCCTGCCACCGCTATCCATGCCGTCACCCGCCCGCTGACCCAGCCTGCAGCCAGCACCATACCTGGGTCTGCGGCAAAGGCACTTGGCGGGGGTAAGGAGCTCTCCGCGCTCCGCCATGATCAGCTGTTAGGAGCGGCCTGGTAGGGAGGCATAGCTTCCCGCGGACCGCTCTAGGGTGTGTGTGGGGGCAAAATTTAAGTCACCCCCAAAAAGACGGCCTAGCCATTTTTTCGGGGGTAAAAAAAAAAAAGGCCCGGACTTATTTTGTGAGAAACAAGGTTGTGTGTATGTATGCGTGTGTGTGTACACACACACACATACACAGAGTGTATAAATATATACACAAAACCCTGGTTATAAAGAAATTCATACCATTGTTATTTGCAAATAGCTGGATATCTTCTGAAGAATTCAGTTGTTCCTGTGGACAACTTGATACACATAATGCAGTTGATTTGATGTTCAGGTTTTTTGTTTTTAAACCACATGAATTCAAATAGAACACAAATCTAAGGATGGGAGAGAGAATCTTTATTTAAGAATCAAATGTGTATTTTACTTTCTCTATATTTTTTACCTAGGCATCAAAAACAGATTTTTTTTTAACTGAAACCAAAAATGAATTTCTAATTAATATGTTTCATACTGCATACTACTGCAATTTTATTCTGACCAGTACTGTATATAGGATAAACTAATAATATATTAAGCAAAAAGCTGATTTTAAGCCTTAAGAGGATTTCCAAATGTATTGAATCTTAGCAAATATTGTTATAGTTGTTGCTTTAGGATATTTATGCATTTTTTTCTTTGTGCAAAATACCGTAGCCACACCAATTATGAATTTCTCAGGAATCAAATTTCACTTCAAATATAACGGAGATAATATTAAAATAGTATAAATAATAATTTTCTCACTTTTTATTTCTCATATCTTGTCCTGACAAAGGTGCACCAAGCACAGGTGTATTCCTCCGACCACAAACATTTCCATAGCTATCATATCCAAATATAAGCCTTTCTGTAGCTCCAGCTGTTACAGCATAACCTGTTATAAACATCTATAAGCACATGCACACCACTTTATTATTGGAATTCACATCAATCTGCAACACTTATACCATTCCTGAACATTAAGGGTTAACTATTTCAACCCTTAAGTATATTTATGATTCCTTTATAATGCAATCATGTCGAGGGAAGCATTTATCAGAAGCTGTAACAGAATATTATGTATGGATTTGGTGTATACTTCTCCCTTACCTTCTGGTTTGTTCAGAAATATATGGTGTTTTTTCCAACTCAAGCCACTTAAGTGACCTCAGTAGCTGATAAGATCAGCTTAAAGAATCCCAGATAATCGCAAACAGCAAAGTTACTGACAACAGGATTCTCAACTATTTCCAGGAGTCTGTGACTGCTTTACAGTTTTGTAGTTTTGCTTTACATACTTAGTGTTTACAATTCCATAGTCTTTTTGGGTGAAGAAAAGAAAATAGAGAGGAAAGACAAGAAAATGTTCTGCTTATAGTTATAGGGAGATATATGATAAAGTTAAAACATTTTCTTCTTTGCTAATAAGGAGAATTTTAACGTATCAGGAAACACTAAGAATATTTATTGATACCCATAAAATCTTTCCTCCAAATGAAAAGAGAAATAAAATGTTCAGATTAGTAACCAGCCCGTTTAACAGAAAGTGACAGCCTGATTTTTCCCTTCTCTTCCGAGCTTGCCCCAAACATGACCTTAAAATAACTAATAAAGGAGAATATGTCCTTTATTGGAAAATTTAAAGGGGGAACAGCACAGTGGAGATGGTTGATTGAGTAACAACAGATTCCACCTCTCCCCACTGCACCCTGGCCTCCCCATGTATCCTTGGTTTTTAATTTTTGCTGTTTATTTTTTTAGCATGTATGTATAGATACATTTTTATGTAAGCCACCCAGAGTTACCTTTACCCAAACTAGGTAATATCATCAGTGCTAATTAATACTAGGGTTGCTTTCAGTTTATATTCTAGGGGTGTCAAACTGGCTGCCCATGGGCTGGATGCATCATGCGCAGGCCACGCCCGACCCAGCTCTGCAAATGGGAAAAACACCACGAAACATGATGCTGGGAAATTGACACCCGTGTTCTAGTAACTTGCCCTGTCAGCATTTGGAGGGGGGGCAGTCTTAAAGATTCTTTGGTTGGGCTGTTTACTGTTGGCTGTTTGGCCATTCCTTGATTGGGATATTGTTTACTTGATTGCTGGTTTGATGTGGAGTTAATTAATCATGTTTTGTGACTACTAGTTGGTGTTCATAGATGCATTCTGTCAGTCTTCTGCCTGTTTGTAGTGACTGTTTCAGCACTACACTATATCACCGGTGTCAAACTTGCTGCGTCACATTGCCATCATGTGATGTTTTGCGACGTTTTTTCCCTTCACGGAAGGAAGGCGTGGCCTGTGGGTGATGCATCCGGCCTGCAGGCTGCCAGTTTGACACCCCTACACTATATGTTATAGATCAGTGGCCCCCAACCTTTTTTGTGCCACGGCCCGGTACCGGCATCACAAAATGATCCGTGGCCCGGTACCGGCATCAGCACGCATGACAAGGCAAGGCGAGCCGAGCGACTGGCCAGCCAGCCTTCCCCCGCTTCTCCCCGCCACCTTCAACTCCTCCTTTGTACCTTTGTCGATGGGCTTCGCTTCGGGACGGCTTCGGGACGGTCGCTCGGCTCGCCTTGCCTTGGGTGCTGAAAGAATCCTCGCGCCTTAGTTTTGTTCGAAGCCCCCCCCCCCTTCGATGAAACTAAGGCACGAGGATTCCTTCAGGACCCAAATGCCGCTTTCCAACCGGAAAAGCTCACCCGGAAGCACTTTCTCGTCAAACAAGATGGTGGCGCCCAGCAAACCGGCGGCCCGGTAGGAAATGTTCCACGGACCGGTACCGGTCCGCGGCCCGGTGGTTGGGGACCCCTGTTATAGATGACTCCTGTTTTTCCTTCTGGGGCTGCTAGGCCTTTTGGTTTACTTAGGATATTTGAAGGGCTTTAGTTGGCTTATGTGCTATGCTGATTCCATGTGGTTGCAATCAGAAGACATGTTGAAAAATCTTCAATTTCAAAACATATGGACAGACTTAATCATACTTTCAATTGAGAAACTGTGACTATCCTAGACCAAGCCAAGTCCAAAAACACTAGGGAATTTCTAGAAGTCTCACACTCTGACAAATTAGCCATCAATAGACACGTGCATAAACAATATCTACTTACCATGCAAAAGAGACAATCAACAAGCCAAAAAGGGAACAAAAAGATTCAAACATTTCGCTACCAGCACCCAAAGAGCATAGATTAACTCTAAAATATATTGGGAGCAAACCCCACTCCTAACTAGCACTGATTATGTTACCTAGTTTGGGCAATGAAGCATCTGCAAGAAACAGCCAAGCTCTGAAAGGACTAAGGATCCCCGACCTTATACAGCAATTATTCTAAATATAGGAATCTGGAAGACAGGGAAGGAACTCTTGCTAAAAGGGATTATCATTAAACAATCTAGTGCCAAATTTGATTTCCCCATATCTATATCCTTATATATAATAATTTGGCAATGAACCGGGTCTATTGGCAGACAACACAGCTATTTTTCTTAAGAGAAACATATTCAATTGCAATAAAATACTGAAACCACTATGTTACTGCACCCTGATATAACATAATCAATAGACAGTCGCAAAACCAGTTAAAATATTGCAAAATTTTGCTTCCACTGAAATTGTATACACAAAGAGTACTGACTGCAGTAGAATAAAGAAATATTTTTATCAGATTATTCACTAACAATTTGAATCACATCTCATTCTTTTCAACACATTTATTTCAGCAGGAACTCTACTTACCAAACCTGCCCAAAAGAGGAAAAACATTATCAACCAAAATTTGTCTGTGCATTTCCTATGTATCAATGGTCGCCACTTTCTTGATTCAGGAAATCTATCTTCAGAAATCTAAGATTCACAAATAGGATATATTTTAAAATTCATTAAACATTAAGGATGTTTAGATAGACAATGTGTTGTTTTGCATGCCATCCAATGGATATATCTTGGTCACTCATTTTAGTTTAATCTGCACAAAGCATACAAGCATCAGATTATAATCATTTTAGTTTAATCTGTACCAAGCACACAAGTATCAGATTATAAACTTAAACGTTACGGGTATTAACAAAATTAACTTTGAATCCCTAAATGAACTGGAGGAATTACCTGAAGAAGTAACTTCTCTAATAGTTATCTTATATATTTTTAAGGTCCCTATCTCCCTTGCCAATTGAAGCGTGCTATATGGTTTTAAGAGAAAATAATCTTCAACAGAAATATCTTTGAGTTCTCTTAGATTGAGACTAATCAATCTCATTGCTGCAGATTTTATCGATAATAATTTTTTACAATTCATTCAATGCATTCTAGCTAATTTTTGTATGCCTTAAGAAGTGCTGTTTAGATATGTAATACATATATAAATGACCCATTGACATAGTTACTTATAACCTTTTGTGGTTGTTGTACATAAGGCTAAGCAAAACATCAAAACACATGCATGTATACAGCAAATATTTTGCTTTTCTCTCTTGCAAAACAAAGTAACAGTGCATGCATATGCATGCAGAGACATATGGGAAGTACTTCTAAAGCAGCCTTACAAACTATGTGGCTGCTATAAAACTTCAAAGTTACTTTTGTTGTCGTTCCTACTCTCGCATGTTGCAAAACACCTCTATCAAATACTTTGAATGGCTTTATTGAGCTGTATTGCATAATTGTTCAATATGTTACTGAAACAAACAAGAACTTACAAGTAGTCCTTGATTTATGACAACTGAGCCCAAAATTTCTGTTGCTAAGCAATACAGTTAAGTAGATTTTGCCCAATATTATGACCTTTCTTGCCACAGTAACACACACAAATGAGTTACTGCAGTTAAGTCAGTAACGCAGTTGTTTAGTGAATCTGGCTTCCCCATTGATTTCATTGGTCAGAAGATCCCAAAAGGTGATCATATGACCCCAGGACATTAAAACCATCATAAATACATGCCAGATGAATTTTGACCACGTGACCTCGGTTATAAGTGTGAAAACAGTTATGTCACTTTTTTCAAAGCTGTTGTAACTTCAGTCACTAAACAAATCGTTGTAAGTTGAGGATACTCTTAGGACAGCATTCTCTAGGACTTAACTGATATGACATCATAAGTAAATGTAAATAAAGCTGCAGCAATTATATGGCATATAAATGTTTTGACTAAAGTTTTAGGGCAAATCACTCCACTACCCACTTGTGACCACAAAGAGCTAGAGATCCTGGTTCAGATTCCTCTTTATTTTTATTAATGTATTACATTTATATGATGCCCATCTCATTCTGAAAATCAATTCTGGGAGGCTTACAATTAAAATGTAGCTGTGGGGTTCTTGGTGTTCTCTAAGTTTGATTGTTTTCTTGCAGAGGTTTCATTACCAATCTGGGTAAGTTCATCAGTGTCAGTAGGGAATGGAGTTTGCTCTCATTTTATATTCTCTCAAGACCACTTCCACCAATATTGACAGGGCATGTATATAAAATGACAACGAACTCTATTCTTACTAAGCACTGCTGATGTTACCTAGTTTGTTATGAAAAGGTAAGCAAACAATTGAGCTCAGAGAATACCAAGGACTCCACAGTTCAACCCTGGGCAACAAATATTGTACTCTCTTGAAAATTTTAGCTGTAAGACCGTAGGTAACTTGAGGTTAGTCATTAACTCTCAATGCAACTAACTTTGGGGGAAAAGGGATTACAGAATGTGATTTCCAACATTTTTAACTCTTGCTGGAAAACATGGGATTACCTTAATGGATGACCTTAAGGATTAAAAGGATTAAGGATGACCTTAATGGATAAGCTACACAGGTATAAATGCAAATGTTTACCAATTACATTGTTTTTAAACCGTGCCTCCCCCCCCCCCAAGAAAACAAGGCAATGTAGATAGTACTTCTTCATTCTATCAGTCCAATTTTGCCACAAAGATTCGTTTGACCACTAACGACGGATCCAAAGCCATTCAGTGACTATTTTCCAGCTCAATGGGACCTAATCACAGATCCACCGAAGTGCAAGGAGACCAAACCTTTACGCCCCGGGCAGGGCAGAGCTCCTTCTTTAAAATAATCCCTGAAAAATAGTCGACCTTTGCTACTTGCACCCATTCAGAGACGCAGAAACTCTGCTTTTTCTCGCATTGCAACTTTTTTTTTTTCTCAACTCGCCAACCCAGCTGAACCATCGGGGGGCTTGTTCCTTCCCCCCGCGTTACAAATGCACAAGGGGAAAAAAACAAAACCCTCGCCGCGGGAAAAGACCTCGTTACGGTGGAAGCGATACCGTCTTTCCGTGCACCTGTCGGCTTGGGAGGCACCGCAGTCCGCTTTTGCGGGCAGCGCCTCATCCGCGCGTAACCAGGGGGTGGGGGTGGAGAGAGAAAACGCCACTTTCCCGCGTCGTTAGCGACGTCCTGGGCTGCTGCCAAGTAGCCGAAGCCGGTCTTTTTCCTCTCTGACCTGTCCCCCCTCCCCACAATTCCTCCTGCAACGGTGAGGGGAGGGCGCCACCCGTCTAAGCTCCCCTCAAGGAAATACCGCGCTTGGTCTCTTACCGAATACTCGCCTCTGTAGCACGCCATGCTGCTCCCTCCTTTCCCACCCCTGCCGCTTTGGGTGCTGGGGCAACTTGGGCGGCTCCTTCCTGCTTTGCCAGCCTCAGGTCGGGAAGTCTGGGCTGGGCCAGGCCGGGCTGCAGCTGGTTGCGGGCTACAGATTTAGCCAAAGTATCCCAGCCTCGGGTTTAGCACGCTGCCGTCCTGGTCTACAGACCGGCGTTTGGGGGCGGGGGGCGGGGGGAAGAAAAGGTCTGAAAGGGCCTCCCGGTAAGAGTCGCCGCGCGCCTTTGCGCCCGGGATTCTCCGCATGCCTTGCCTTTGTTTGCCTTTCCGGGAACAAGGTGCTCGCGGCGGGTGTGTAAAGTTTTGCAACAACTCCGCGCTGGAGGGGAGGCGCGCGCCCAGAGCCAGCTCGCCGTAAATTACAAGGCATAAAATAAGAATAAATGGGATCTTCTTGGTGAAGGGCAGAAGGTTGCGCGTTTCCCGTTCTCGTGTGTGACTGGATTTCAATGTGCCTTTCGTCGTCGAGCAGAGAGAGAGAGAGAGTGTGTAAAAATGCCCACCCACCCAGTTAGTAAAGAAAATCCCCCTCATAGCCTCATAAGCACTTCTTATAGCCCTGGATAAAAACAGGCTGATGTATTCACAATACAGAAGGAACGGGAACCGCCGGAGCTGCCGAGTTTTTCCTCTTGAATGTTTTTGTGGCCCTCAACTTATTGTGAAAGCACTTACAACTAGTAGATTTCTCTCACTGAGAGCTAGGATCTGTCTTGTCAAAATACCGCCCCCCCTCCCCCGAGTAAAACATGATTAAGAGGTCCTGTATATATGACTCAAAACTCGATGAAGTACACTTTCTTTTACTGAACTTTGACATCATGTAAAAGAAAGTGGAATAAAGGAAATCCTACAACATTCAAACTGCAATCTGGTTATAACCTCCCAGCTAGAGCAAAGTCTAAGTTACACACTGCTTGATAACATTAATTCATACAGTAGGAAATAAAGATAATTATATCTGTTGTTTGTTTAGCATTAAGTTGCTAATCATTCATGCAGTTTAAGCAAAAACCAAAACTGCCAATTATAAAATTAAATATAATTCATTAAAAACAGTTTTGATTAATATGCATTAATTTTTATGTGCATGTTATGACTATAATTTTACAACATATCTAGCAACACGTTCTGTAGTGCAATCCTATGTTCTCAGGAAAATGAGATTGTACATTGTCCAAAGTCCTTTTTTGAGGGAGATGGAGAATTCAGAAATATTCAAAATCAATGAATAAATAGATAAAATGGAAAATGTTTTTCTTTGTTTCTGAATAAGGCAAAAAAAAAAAAAAAACCTCCAAGGATTTAAAAGAAAGTAGAAAATAATGCTGGGAAAAGCGGAAGGAAAGAGAACAGAATGATCAGCATTAAGGAAGATGGGCTCAGTTACACTGGCAATAAGTATACAATTTGGAGATTTGAAAGAACACGTTAGGGACAGGTTGTCATCAGAAAAAAATCGATGTGGTCACTAAGAGTGAAAAATGTCTTCATGGCACATAATAATAAGCAGAAGAGAAGAGAAGAAAAACTGGAGAAAATTGCAAAATACAAAGACCTGCAAATAGAAATAGAATTGACTGCGACAAAAGAAAGCAAAGATAGTACCAATAATTATAGGTGCCTTGGCGGTAATCCCAAAACTTCTGGAACACCAGTTGAACAGAAACAGCATGGACAAAATCATCATCGGTCAATTTCAAAAAGGCATTTTTGGGACAGCTTCCATCCTGTGACAATCCCTTTGACCTCATCAAATAAAAACATCTGTCTTTCCCAAGTCCTTAGGACTCAGGTAAATCAAAATGCCAAATCCAGTCTAAACATCTGGCTGAACCATAATTAATAAATAACAACAGTGGTTATCAGCACACTTTGTGTGATACCAAAAAATGTTAGACAGCACTTCAAAAATCTGCATTGACAACATCTACACCTGTCAGTTACAAAATGCCATTCCACTTGGATCTGGAGATATACTATACCAATATATTACGATATCCTAAATTCTTTGGAAGAGTTGATGTTTATGAAGGCTAACTCCAACTAAAGAACTGACAGCTGTGATTTCATGATGTGTATATTAATAAAAGGTAAATGTTTGCACCCTAATACCCATTGAAATTTAAATATAGTTATACATGCAAGTCAAGTTGATTTCTACTGTTTCTGGATGCTGCCCTGAACATTTTTTGTGATTGCAAGCTTTGAATTAATAATGTATCTAGTGAAATGAAGTTTTAAAAATATGAAATATTTTCATGTTAAAATCATACCTCATTCTGACTCAACCTTGTAGAAACTGGACATTTCTAAATGGTGCACTTTTATGTAAAAGTAATTATTACCATGTGTTTATTAGAATATGTTTCTGCTAATACCATTATGTTGAAATATTTCATTTGTTTCTCCCACTATGTTGAAAAACTCAGGTTTTGTAAACAGTTGTATTCTGGGTTTTCTTCCACCAGGTGGTGCTATCTATCATAGAATATATAGCTATTTAACTACAATATTTGTTGCAAAATAAAACAGGAAAAGGTTTTTATACCATTATAGAATTACAGGACTATATTCAAGATATTTAGGAAGGACAGTGGTTTGCAAAGTGGTTTCCAAATTCATTTTGCTGACAGATGCTGGTCTATGATAGACAGATTTCCTGATACAACCCTTGGTCCACAATCTGACATAGAACTAAATGAACATATTTAATTGTATTGATTTTGACTCTCCTGGGTTATGGACAGTTATTTGAAACCAATTTTCTATTTGCCCCTGAATTCTGACTAATGGAAGTAATTTAAAATGTTGATGTCTCTCATAGAATTTTGAAAACTTGTCCTGGATTTTATTTTCCAGGTTATTTTTTTGCATCTGTAAATATCATAGCAGATAGTAGTAAGAAAGTTCAAGCATAATTTTGACTTAGACAAAATTCCCAAGTACGTTTTATGACTGAAAAGGAAATGCTTCAGCAGGAGTCACTTTTGCAAACACAGATTATTACGGTTCAAGATTTTATTAGTAATGTAATTTATGTAGAAGAATTCTATCTAAGCAAGTAATCCAGTACTGAAAGTGCCTCCAAGAAACTACAACAATCTATGAGAGAGTAAGCTGCTTGCCTTTCAAAGTCTTCATCTCTTTGGAATTTGAAGATCTGACCATGTTCATACTTCGTTTACAACTCAAAAGCTGTTCAGTATACTAAAGAAGTGGTGAAATTGCTCCACAGGGTCTGCCCCCAAGGTTACAGATTATCTAATTGTGTCCAGATGTCTGTGGATGGAGTTGTGGCTGTCTGTCAAAAGCAGTTAGGCTTTATACCCTGATGGAAGCTTACTTGGACAAAATCTGACAAAGAAATACCAAAATATGAATAGGCAGTTTTTCCTGGGATTGTTGTGGTTCGCCGGCAGCCTGTGCAGACTGCAGCGGAATCGGACAGTGGGGAAGAAGAAGGACCAGTCTGGGAGTCTGGAGAGGACTCGGACGAGAGTCCTGTGTCCAATGCAGGGAGTGGGGTGCTGACTCCAGAGCCTCTAGAGTCTGGCAGCAGCAAGGCAGAGAAACAAAGGGAGCCTGTTCCCAGTGCACGTATGTGCAGAGCTGCTAAAAGGCAAGAACAGCTGAAAAAAAAGAGGCGACTCAGGAGTAAGGCTTGGAGGTGATTGCCCCTCCCATAAAGTATAAAGGACAGGTAAAGGTGAAGAAACCTTTGTAGGAAGCAAAGTCGTTTGTTCTGTTCGGATTAATCCCTGAAGCTCTGTGTGGACTTTGTACTTTGGTTGGTTTTTTTATAATTCATTGGGCACTCTAGTGGTTGGCAGCAATTCAAAGGAAAGAAAGGTGGGTGCTTATCTTGAAGGGACTGTTTGGGACTCATTGCCGGCTGGGAATGAACATAATACCCAGCATTGAAATAAAACAAGAGTTTAAATAAGTGTGTGCTTAATTACGGTCTCGGGAAGCCTTGGTCAGAACAGGGATTATCTCTGCAGAAATTGCCCAAGATCTTTGAAAAAAATGCCGCTCTTGCAAACAGAGCTATATTCATAGACTTCATGTTTGAAGCATGTTTTTGGAACTGACTTCAAAATACCATGCAGCTCTGAAATGCACTCTATATAATTTTCCCTCTTTGCAGATAGCATGCATCTATCATAATCCTGCATTTGAACATGACGAGAACTGTGTTCCAAACAAGCTAAGAGGTTTGTTTTTCTCTTTCTCATTTGATACTATACTCGCTTAACTGCTACCTCTTTTGTTTCTAGAAATCCATTGTGTCAATACCCATTTTAAAACTGAAAATGCTAAATAGGAAGAGAAATCAACAAACAGGCAGATGACAGATAATCTCCAATTTACATCTACAATTGCGACTGGAATTACCTTCGTTAAATGATGCAGGTGTGAGTTGTATCTGATATTACCAGCTTTTTTGCTACAGTTGCTAAACAAATCCGCTTTTCCATATTGTCTTTGTTTTAAACTTCCCTGGGTGAAAAAAGCACATGGAAATCACATGAACCTCAGATGCTGCAACCATCGAAGATACACACAGGTTGCCTAGCACCCAAATTTTGATCATGGAGACACTGCCACTGTCTTAAGTCCCAGTACCAATTGCAACTGTAGTACTGTCATAAGTTTAAACAGACATTAAACGAACGGTTGTAAGTTGAGGACTACCTAGAAATATAGTTGGGGGACAAGTGAAATAAGAGTCTGTACCCCTGGAGACAGCATCTTTCTTTAAATCCCTAAAGAGTGCTTTCTCTCTCTGAATGAAAGCTGGAAGCTAAGCGATCTTTAATATGCAGAGGTGGACATGGGAAAGTGACCTAGAAAAGAAGCCAAAACAGGCTGCCAAGCGCAGACCAGTTACCCGCACATTCTCTGGCTATATCCATGATACAGGACAAGGAGTTCTTGTCTGATAATTGAGTAGGGCTTCTGTAAGCCAGCACCTATATCAATAAGTATCCATCTCAAAGGAATGCAGCTGAACTGGACAGGCATCTGATATTTATTGGTGGCTGTTTCTTAAGAAGTAAGAGAACAGAAGGGGAAAAGAGGTGCCGTACTTAAATGTAATGATTTTCATTCTTAAAAATCAGTCATTTTTCCTTATGTGTAGTCATCCAATGTCCTTTCAACCATGAAAAAAATGGAAAATTCAAAGCAGTTACTTAGCTTATAAAACATTTATGTCAATAGAAACACCACATGCCATCTGGCAAACACTGTGATTACAGACTTTCCCCAGAAGGAGCCAGCACAGG